GAACTTCGGTTTTCATAATTTGTTTGATTACATTTTTTTTTTCACTGTATAATAATCAAATTAAATCTGCTACCAATTTTTTATTATTTTTCATTTCAACACGGGATTTCATTATGATACAGAGTTCGGCAAATAAAAACACATATATTTTATTATGATACGGATTTTTGGCCTATAGAAACCCATATTTGGGAATAATAATAAAGTGGGTTTACGTTTTGATCTCATTTGCTTGAGTTTGACATTTATTTCCAGTACACATGCCATCAAAGATAGTGTATGCAACGATCATGTAATGGCTATTAATACATAAGATGTAATGAATTCAACAATAAAAAACTTCAGATTTTGCCTAATTTGTTAATTTCATATCTTTCAGGCTGTGGGTATTGTAGAGAATCAGAGTAACTACTACTTAGGCTCTAATGTTTGGCCTGCGATAGGCAGAGGGTAAATAAATTTAATGGGTTAGATTTAAAGAAATGTCCGAATGTCTAATTTTAGATTCAATTCTGGCGTTCTTCTGTATAAACTATCTGTGCTGAGAAACATCAATTGGTCCCGTTTGTGGATGAGCATTACCAAGCAAAATGTTCTCATGTACGGAACTACTCACCTGGCAGATCAGGACATAATAAACTCCCTGTTAAAGGAGCATCCTGATTTGTTGTTTGAAGTGCCTTGTGTTTGGAATACCCAGCTGAGTGATCATACTATGAGTTATGAGTGTTATAAAGATAAGAAAGTGAAGGTAATTTTATCATTATTCAAATACTTACATTTTTTGAAAATAGTTTCATGGTTAGCAAAAAATTTTGAACCTGAAAATCGAGAATTCATTTTTCATAGTTTCAAAATAGAGAATTCATACCAACGTTCTTTCCTGGAATGATTCTTTAGAATACAATTTCAGAATGAAAGTTTGGGACACATAAAGTCTTTTTTGTAGGGATAATTTTGTGACATTAATTCCTTCTCTAGTGGAATAGCATTTGAATAATTTCAAGTCATATCCATATGGCCTCATTGATATAGTTCCTAATCTCACTAAAAACTAACTAAGAAACTAGTGCTTGAACTTATACATATAGGTGATGAATTCAACAACACACACACACCCTCACCTTCTGACACATTTTGCATAATTATAGTACAGGGTGTATCTAAATAACACCGAAAATTTTCAAGGGGGGATTCTTTGTTATATTCTACCAAATAAAGTTCATATGAACATGTATCCTAACTTGCCCCGTTTTTGAGATACAGCATGTTGAAGTTTGAAGTATCAATTGTTTTTATTCATAGCACCCCTGCATAAGCTATCATGGTGCCAAAATTCAGTATGGTTGGAGACTAAGGGATCCCTAAAATTACAAAATGATTGTAATTGGGGATATTGAGTAATCTCACTGGAAGTCTTGAAAACACCTACATTAAAATTTGGGGTAAAATAGAATTTTTATTGTTTCCTCAAAAGCTAAACTTGATACTGAAATCATACAAAGGATAAAAAAGTTTCAACTAATTAAAATATGAAAAAGTTCAAACTAATTAAAATATGAAACTCGGTGAAACCATAAATATCGATGAATTTACCCAGTGGAAATATTATTTCGAATCTAATTGCATCAGCAAAAGCTGCATTTTACTATTAATAAAACCACAAAGTTTAATTGAGATTTATGAGAAGGCAATTGAGTAATGAATAAAAAAACGATTTTTCATGGAAATATTAATACCCTGTATCTCGAAAACGAAGCAAGTAAGGACAAATGTTCATATGAACGTTATTTCCTTAAATATCACCAGGAATCACCCCTTGAATTTTTTTCGTGTTATTTAGATACACTCTGTATAAGTATATACTTGACGACTATCTTTGCCAATTAAAACCTATTCGAAATAATTCTCTACATTTCTAAATTTCCACAATACAGTTCTTGAATTTTTCAATTTTTATCATGCGAGATATTGCCTGTATATGAAACTTGGGACACCCACCTTTAATATTTTATAATAGATCGTTTTACAATAACATGCAATTTTTGCCCTCAGATTATTCACTGGAATTCACCAAAGAAATATAAAGTAGAAAACAAAGATGGAGATTACTTTCGAAATATTGCCACTGGATTTCAGGAATACAATGGTAATTTACTGAGAAAAAAACTCCACTTTTGTGATTCATCGACAGATGAAATAGAGGTAAAATATTGTTAAATAGGTCTGTAGTGTTCATGTGAAAAGAACTGGTATTTTAAATAAATGCAATTCTTCAACATTGCACATAGTTTGCCAATGGTGAAAGGATATCAACAGAAATATATTTCTTTGGATTCTTTGACCTCTTTTTCTTCGTTTCTATGAAACACTTTGACACAGTAAATTTAGGTGAAAATGAATATTTTTGGTCGTCAATTTACAACCAACATCACAAGACCCCCTTCTCCATTTGAGTGTTATTTTCTAGATGGCGCCCAGTCGTCATCTTGTAATTTTCATTCGTCAATTTTAATCCAAAATATAGTATCCATGCATTAATTTCATTACTCCGAGTTGAAATTATTTCAGTTGACCCATTAAAAAATGGGGGGGGGGAGACATTGAAGAAAAGCACTGTATATGTAGATAGCACATTTACTCATATCCTGTTTTATAATAGATAATTATACAAGATTCATACATTGAATGCAATATGTTTTCAGAGTCAAACTGAAGAGGTTTGTTCAGAATTTCACAATTTTTCCAAAATATCATGGAGGACAATTTTGTATATAAGAGAATACAAGGATTCATTATTTGTAGAAAATGATGTAACATTCGTGGCTCAATTATCATATGATAGGTTGCAAACAATTGAAGATGTAGTTAAATCTTGGCCAGGTGAGTGTATATTAGTACATGGGAATTTGGAAGTGGCTCCCTGATAACAATTCATAGTAATTGAAAAAATATTTCACATTGAGGTTTCTACTAAAACATTAAAAATTATATGTTTCGTCAACAGAGTAGCTTCTTCAGGTGACAAACTCATACAATGAATCAATCCATACATTTACTTCCCTATTTAATATTTGTTTCCAAAGAAATATGCAAATCCGTTATTAAGTGGTGTATGAATATATTACTTCCATTCAATTTCACGCTATATTTCGTTAGTAATGTTAGGCTTGAAATCTCACTGGCTCATATTTTTCTAGAATAGTAGATCCTGCAAAATATTTTTCACAAGTCTCAATTTGTTATTTTCAGGACCAATCAGTTTTACACTCTATGTGTCAGATTATGAATTGGCCAAGGCTATATCATTCATATCCAGTTCAGAGATATTACAGGAAAGATTGAATGTAGCTTATCATGCTGTTTTCAAAGATGGGGTAGGTTCACACATCTGAGAAAAAATATTCGAAAAATTCACGTCAATTCATTTCCAGGACTATTATCCCATTAACACTTTGAGAAACATTGGCCTGAAAAATGTTCACACCCCTTATGTTTTCCTAGCAGACATTGATTTCTTACCAAGCAAAAATTTGTATGAAATTTTGTGTAAATATATCACCTCTATGGGCTCTTTGAAGAAAAAGGTGAGTTTATCAGTCACAAAGACATTTGTACACAAGAGACTTCATTATTTACCCGATAAGTCATCATTTGATCCTCCTTTTTTATATTTTTTTTTGCAAAAAACTGTCACACAAGGCTGTTCTGGCTGTTCACAGCTTTCCAGAATCACTTGAAATGATTATATCATGAGAACTTCTATGAGAGCCTGGATTTCAATAACTACATTTCATGACTAGTAATTTTAACATTATCTGTGTCGTGTAGTTTATTATGTGTGATGGAAATGAGGTGATTTCAATATGTACCTACTGGTATAATTTCATTAGCAAAGTGGTATCAAATGTTATGTGGTTTGAATTTGCAAATTTTTAATCATCACCGTCCGGTACGAAGCAACGTAGAAAAGAGAAACGATCTTCAGTAGTGGCAGCATGTGTCACAAAGAAAAATCGTTTTACTCAGACATCATCTGCTAGCTACTCGTTACCTCTCTCTCGTCCGTCGAATTAATATATTATGTTCGTTTGAAAATTCTTCCTGTCCAATTAATTATTGTTAGTCAAATGAAAACGGAGTCTTTTGGTCTACACACTCATGTACATAACTCTTTTGGTCTAACACACTCAATACATAAATTCACACTTATATTTCGAATCCAATGAAAACATAATTGCAATATCATAATTCACAATTCAATTAAGATGGTGGCGAAATTTGTATACAACCATCTGAGGATTCAGTTGCGCTTTGCGCCTCAGATGATTGCAGGGAGTTTTTCCAAAGAAACATTTTGTCTCGTGTTTGAATTATTTTCATAATTTACATGAAACGGTAAATATAAAGTGAACAAATTCTTCAGGCTTTGATAGTTCCTGCCTTTGAAATAGCCAAATATGGTGGCCAGATTCCATCTGAGAAAAAACAACTCCTCAGTGAATTAGATGATAAGTCTGTGATTCCTTTCCTATCCAACATTTGGGCACCTGGACATTCTCCCACTGATTATGATAATTGGAAAACTAGCTCTGAACCATATAAAGTAAGGAGTACAATTGAGGAGCCTAAAGCATAATCTAGTAAGGTCACAAAAAGCAAAATGTTGAGGAGATGAAAAAAACAGTTTTGATGTTGAATTATACTCATAACGATGTGTGATATTCTTAGGGTGAAATGAAAAATATAACATCACTCAAGATGGAAATAGTAACAAAAAATCGGGAATACAAAAACGTGTTATGTTGACAACTACCCTTTTCGGATGATGAACAATGCTGACGGTACGATGCAAAGAACAGTCAAGTCCAGGACTTGACCGGTTTTTGCAAAGTATCAAAGTGTAGGCATCCAATTTAACACTCTAGTTTCCACACCGATGAATGTACAAAGCTCTTTCATGCACTGAACGATGCAAAATTCGTCACTGTGCATGAATGTGACCTTAACTCATTTCACAAAAAAAAATGACTTGACTGGTTTATGGATTGGACCCCTTAATTATTGATTGACAATTAATTTATTAGATATGTTATTTTCATCAGCTCGAAAACCACTTTTATGAGGGAATCAGCAATAAAAGGCAACAACTGGTTGAAGTCGAAAAATCATCGGCGGCAATTTGATTCCTGGAAATATACTGAACGGATGTCTATCAGATTTGTATGAGACCACCTGGAAGCAATCTATGAGCTAATATATAAAAAAACATTCAAATTTGTGCACCCTTCTCGAAGGTTTTCGTGAAAATATTGAAGAAATCGTGTAACTTCATCTATATATACTATCTACATAATATCAATCAAATGAGTAATATTCTTGCATACCTACAGGCGGTTATATCAAGTCACAGTGGCGTTCAGCATACATTCATCACATTCATGATAACTTGTTATCATAACAAGCTACATAGATACTCAAATGATTGAAGCGATTTAAATCGACATCTCCACAGAGGAAGTGGTCAAAATTGATTCCTGATATGAATTTAGCATTCTCTTATCGTTATCACGATTTCTCCTGTATTACAGCGATATTTTTTGTTAAAAGTTATCGGACTTGCTTCAACAATACCAGCGATACAAACTTTTGATGTTTATAACGTCAGTTATAATTTGGCACGGATTTCTGTATTGTCATTTATTGTCTGATTCCATCATGAAATAGTCATACGAATACATTTCGTGATACTATTGTAATCAATTTTGACGGCACGGATTTCTGTATTGTCATTTATTGTCTGATTCCATCATGAAATAGTCATACGAATACATTTCGTGATACTATTTTTCCTGGAAATATCCGTCGATTGCTATACTCTTGCTGCATTTATTTCGCTCGTTTCAAAACTGCTCGCCTACAGCTCGAAAGTTTTGATAAACGTCGTTCGCGAAATTATCAGGCATCATGCTGTTGTAACAATCGCCGAATATTCCTGGCAAAATAATATTACTTATGGTATTACACATGATAATTACTTTAACAGTAACTCCAGGAGTAGTATGGTACTAGAACATTGAATAACATTTATCCATACTTCGGTTGACTTCTATCTCTTGTATTGAGTCATTTAATGAATTGCCAGGTGACGTCAAAGCAGCATGATTTCAAGTAAAAGATTCATAATTTAGAAGTGCAACTGCATTTTAATGCCCTCGGTCATGTTAGCTTCCTAGCGGACATGTCCACTCGGCTATCGATCGACTCATTGAGTGTGATGTATAAAGAGTGTTTCTAAAATTGGAGCGATCCTTAAAATGGGTGATAGAAGACGAAGGAACAAAACGAAATGAAAGAACACATTTTTGCGAAAAAATATTATTTTGGAAGGTATTGAATTTTAAAGTTTTAGCCTGAAAGGGCCCAACTTTCGAGGAGCACTGATCAGACGCGCCATAGAGTTTCGTTTAGAGGTCACCGATCGTCATCGACTCGTCATGGTCGAGGGCAAGGAGGTATAGTGTGGGGTTTGAACGATTACTCTTGGTTTGAAGGAATTAAAACATGGGAAATGGTGAATAAGTTGTTAAACTATCCGTGGAGGATTAGTAGAAGAATGTTTTGACCAGCATGTTAAGGATAGTGCCTTGATAAATTCCTGTGTTTACATTGCGTGCTTTTGGAAAATTGTAGAATGCATCACAGTACCAAAAACAGAAACTCAAGAAAAATAAACTGGCAGGATTTCCGACAAATAATATCTAAATTAATTTCATTCAATTACCTGCTTCACTTCATTTCTATTTTTTTACTAGTTTCGTTTAATACTCAAAAAACCATGCAAAACCATAATAAAAACTGAAAACGAAAAAGTCCTACTCCTAAAAACACCTATACCTACCTTATCTAACTACCTTACTAACTATCTAACTTGAGAGGAATCTTCCCTAGGCGTTTGTCACCACAACTCTGAAACACCCTATATGGATTTGTTTATCATTAGGAACTCATTAATGTTCTTGTTATAAAATGAAATGACTATTCGTTGTATCTATTTAGTAATAAATTGAAACCTGGCAACAGTGCGAGAGTGCGAATGCCGAGGCAAATGCTCACGCTGCCGGCCGTAGCGTTGCCGCTTCAAACCAGTGCATTTCAAACCATGGTGAGTTAAATCACACAATTTTCGAAAATTCTCCGAACCATTTTTTTCGCGTTTTATTATGGTTCTTTGACTCGTAAAACACCCCATTTCAAAGATTGTTCCAAATTTAGAAACATCCTGTAGGTATGTTTGAAAATTCTTCAAATTAATTTTCACAAAAAATATGAATATTACTGAGCGATTTGTATCGTTTGCAAACTTTCAAGGTCAAGTGGGCAGTGGATTATGAACCATACATCGTGGTTCGTAGCGATGTGGTGGCGTATGATGAGAGATTTGTTGGGTTCGGATGGAATAAGGTCTCCCATATAATGGAGCTGGAAGCACAAAATTACCAGTTCATTGTATTACCCGATGTTTTCATCGTTCATAAGCCACATACGCCTAGTTATGATATAGGAAGATTTAGAAATTCTGCTACATATAGACTGTAAGTATAAATACTGGGTATTTTGATTGATTTCTGAAACACCTACTGAGTCACGTCAATTATGTTTATTTGTCAGATATTAAATAACTCACTAGTCACCTCATCCTTGTTGAGATGGTATTTACATTATCTATCTCACCAAACAATTTTTGTTTCATTCGACCTGGATTCTCGTTTTGTGAATAAGTCTTTTTGGCTATCAATTATTAACAATAAGAAATAAAATAGTACACTAACTTTATAACAAACCAATTCTCAAACATCGACCAATCATCAGGAGTAATTTTCGTCAGAAATTCCACAAGAGATTATCCATACACGGCTCTAAAGAAAGCGGTGCTGAGGTAACACTGTCCGAAAGTCCTTCCGCCGGCCATTATGCACATACACGATATACCGCCTGTGAATGGAACAGAGTGAATTTGTTCATTTTCCATGTTATCAATGTGAAATATTGTTGAAATCCAGTGAAATGTCTAAGGAATGATCTAGTGATCGAGTTATAAAAGAAAGGGTGTTTTTGTGTGTTGGAAAGTCCATATTTTTTTTATGGGGTTATGTTTTTTGTTCTCTTATTTTTTAGGAATGGTGGTTCCTATTATGTTCGAAGAACATCGTGCGTACCTAGGGAGGATAGGGAGAGGAGGTAGGTGTTGGAGTTTTTGTTGAACTTTTGGAGGTTATAACTTCTTGGGAATACTTCCATTGGCAGAAAGCTTTGCCGTTTTATAGACGAAACAGTTTGGGTATAGTGTTGTTCGACATATTTCAAGGTTGACAGCGAAAGGATGTGCTGACTGGGCCTGTCGAGCTCGTCTGACTGGTATTGCTAGTGATTGAATGATAGCAGAGACATCTGAGGAACATTTTCCGTGGAAGTATCTATAGATATGTGAAAGGTCGCGGACTTTTCTACGGTGTTCTACGGTGAGGTCAGAGGATTAGTGAGTATGCTGGCATCACCCACCAGGCGAATGGCTCTTCTCTAGATGGAATCTAAGATCGTCATTGACATCGTTGACCTGCATTCGTCGTAAGTTTTCAGTTTCAAGGGAAGAAATGGGAATTCTAGAATAGAACTCATTATGGAAGTAGTATCGTCTGCAAAGCTGTGGATAGGGCATTGATATAAAATAGGAACAATGTTGGTGTTGAAATTGAAACTAGTGGAACGCCGGAATTGATGGCAATGGCATCAGACGATATTGCGTCCACCACTACATGGAGTGATCTGCTTGAAAAAAAAAACTCGATGAAAGATGGCTTAGCTGAGGTAGTAAGCCGTATGATAGTAGTTTGTGGAGGAAGCCTTGGTGCCAAACACGTTTTTCAAATGAAGGTTGCCATATATATGATTGACGTAGGCAAGTAAATCTTCAGTTGATTTTCGGTGGCGACAGCCATATTGTCGATCATTATAATGATTCCTGAGCTTTCCAGATATTTGATGAGGTCCATGTTGATGGCTTCCTCCATCACTTAGGAGATGACTGATAACAGGACAATTGGCCTATGTTGTTGGGCGGGCTTTTGTTTTCTTTTTTGGGGATGGGTTGCACTCTAGCTATTTTTCAGCAAGATGAAAAAATACTCGACTAGTACGATATAGTAAATAACTTATTCGTTCGGAGACCGAGCAAAATGCGTCTGATAATGCGTTGGCGAAAGACGATTTCGAGCATGCGACTTTCAAAGGGTGGGATATCTGGCGGCAGTCTTCCCTGGGAATCGAAAGGGGAGTGTGCTGCGAACTTCTCTGCAAAAATGTATGCTTCCTTCCGACTGTTTTAGCGAGGGACCAAAACGAGCAGGAGCCATTGGGACAATGTATGACGGTCGATCTTATTTCGACATTGTTTGATTCTTTTGATGCGTCTATTGTTTGCCTGCAGTTATTCCTGGCTTCAATATATTCTGCTCTAGTCACGAGATTAGGGTTTTTGCGCCAGCGATGGTAGGCTGTTTGTTTCAAGGCAACAGCTCTAGAACAGTTCTTCTTGAACCAGAGCATATAGGTCGTATTGGTGGATGAATTGACCTGTCTCTCAGTGAGAGCCAATATGTCTAGCTTCTCAGATTGAAGGTGTTGATGGACATCGGTGATGTTCTTACTTCAACCACGAATGTTACATAGGTCTATCTTGAGGGTTTCATTAGCCGATGGTGAACCCCCTCTAGCACCTCTCGCCCGGAAATCCGAATGAAGAGGTATTTTACTTCCGGATAATTTTACTTGGGGAGAATTCATCATCGCCATTTCTGTATTGAAGAGCGGTAAAGTTGGCGTGGAAGGAAAATGTAATTGGATTGGGTTGGGTTGGCCGGAATCATCAACCAGCTAATGGATCATGGGTATAACCACAGTTTATGGTATAACCCATCTCACAGCGCCTACGGTCGATGTGGTGGTATCGCACCGGGCGATGGTGTCAGCCATCTTCCACCTATTGGCGTCCTTTTAGTTGTCTTCTACGACAGGCAGGACTTGCTGTGGGGTTTTTCTAATTCGACCGCCACACGGATGGGAGCAAAGTAAATAATTTCAACGTTCCTTATATGAAGATGCCGAATAATACGAATAAAACGTCAGAAATGTTTGCTGTTCAAAATAACTAAAAAAAAAAACGCGGCCAGGTGGTACCTCATGAGTGCTGTGAAAACTACCAATTAATCAGAAACAATGTAGTTATCGGTTGATTTGTGAATTACAAACAAACCAACACAAATAAGATCTTGTCTCGCAATTTGGAACTTGAATGGTCGATGTGAAATGGGACTTGCCTGTTTTTTATTTTATCTAAGAAACTGAATAAAATTTGACCTGGGATATGACCCATTATTCCTTAGTATTTTTTTTCGATTATATTTATATCAAAGCCAGGAATTATTCGTTACGTTATAGCGCGTATAGCGCTTACCTACCGACATTTATGTATGTCGCCGTGGTCGCCAGTAGACAGTAGGACTTTAGGATCACAGCGTTGCGGTGTTGCATTTCTCTCACCATAGCTTGTTGAAGAGCCGGCTGTGCATTATCACATGAAAAGAATATGTGTTATGTACTCAAATGGCCTTTTCATGTCTTTCAAGAATATTTTGTTGAAATAATTTATGAAAATTCGAAACAAACATGGTGCTTCGCTTCCTTATACTTCAAGCTACCGCTCAAAATCTGCTTTTAACATATTTAGGGTTTTATCAACATAGTTTTCATTAATATTCTGAATATAACAAAGTACACACAAGCTATTTTGTTATAATAAAGAAATAATCCAAACTATTTCTTACCTAGATAACCTCGATAAAACAGCATCAGTTACCTGCCTTAGTGACCTCTACTCATCAAGTATATTTGTTTTCAATGAAAACAATGAAAATAATCGTTATTTCATTATATAGCCTAAGTCAAAAATATGAATAATCCGATCAAAATTTTATTCATACAGTTATGGCTTTTTCAGGTGTCTTCATATATTGAAAGAAGATTTTATCAAAAAGCTCAATAAAGAATATAATCGTTCGTTTGCGTATATGAATGTTACCATGAATTCACCGACGTTCCGAAGAAGGAAACGGAATTTTTATCAAGGCCAGACAACAGTAGAGACGAACACGGATTATCCCGTAATTATGGAATAATTTCATACGTGGTGAAGAGTTGATTTATTTCTCCCAATAATGAATTCTGATCATAGGTCTAATTCATCCATATTCTGTTTCCATTGACAAGTATGCTATAAAATAAATTTTATCTTATATTGGATACATTTTTTTCTATTAATTTTATTGTATTCTATTTTATTTAAGTTCATAAAAATTGATATAGAGTGGAGAGTAATAAAATATCTTCATTAAGTTGGAATGTGTTTTATTTTGAAATGGAATCCATTATCTGCAGGTAATCATAATTCTTTTTTTGGCTGTTCAATATGTAAATAATTAGAGTTGTAAAACCTGTAATAACTCATGGCTACCGAGTTTGGTGGTAGCGATGTTATGCTCAAAAAACCTGAAATCAATGGTTCAGTGGTTCAGCCTAAACACAAATCCGCACCTAACTGGGTTTACGTAGGGGATTTCTCATTGTAAGGAGCATGGCTTCAGGAGATGAGATTCATGGACTAGGACACTAATCGCAGAACAAACACTCCCCTGGTCAACACCAATCAACTCGGCACTACGTGTAGGATCGTTTTATGCACTTTTTTATTGAATTGTCCATGTCTGGAATAGAGAAATGAGGAATAAAAGACTTTTAAGAGGTTTCTATAATCACAATAAGAGAGTGTAGGTTATTCGCATCTCCACCAGAGCAAGATTTTTTTATTTCCTCCCCTTCTAACCTTTACCTACTAGGAGTACTAGGTACATAGATTTTCGAAATATTTGAAACAGTTCATTCCGAATGTTCATAGAATGTCCCCGCACAGAATATTCGTATCATCCCAGCATATACAAATACATATCTATACGCAAAAAACACAAATTTCTGTTCTCATGCGATGTTGCAGACTTATTATTTGCACAGTTAATGTATCTTGCATGTACAGGGTGGGCAAAATTGGGCGTTTTCACCGTCTATCTCAATAACTAGAGGAGTTATCGAAAAACCGATATACATGTTCCGGGTTCGATTTTGGAGAAACCTCGAATGGTACAATCAAAATTTCGATATCTTCATTCGTATTAGAGATACAGGGGGAAATTGAAAATTTGCCGATTTCGATTTTATTTTCTGACTACTTTACGGTGAGGGGTATCAAAAAATTTCAAACGTATATCCATACAGTATGATGCGTGGAATCCATTGGCATCATCAGAAATTTTATACAGAGTGACGTTGAGAAAATACGACAGCCAATTATGTTTTTTCTAATGGAACACCCCGTATATTTTGGCACAGTTGAATAGTCCCAGGCGTTCTCATTACAAATATATATATAACCCTACCTTTTCCTTCCACAATTTCAGATATATTCGCAAAAATATATTCAGTGTGTCACATTTCTTATGGTTACACCCCCGTATCTTCTGTAAGAATAATTGATGGAAACATTAACAATCATAATATTTTGTGGCAGAATGCCTGAATATGATACTCTACCCATTATTTCTAGTATGCCTTAATATTTTTTTGTTCAAAGAGATAATAAATAAGATATATATTTGAAATTGAAACGGGAACTTTCCAGCTCTGCCAAAATATACGGGGTGTTCCATAAAAAAAATTGTTCTGTATCTGGAATTTGGACATCTTCTATAAAGCTATATTTTTCAACGCAACCTACTGATTTCCTAATTGAGTAAATTATTGGTCTTATTTCTGTATCTCAAATGTCTTGATAACAATGATATCAAATCGAATAATTTCCCATTTTATTTCTCACCAAATATCCATTTATCTGGAAATTACATTCCCTATGATATTTATTTTCCACATTTGGTGAATATATACAGAGTGTCATTTTCAACCTCGATTCTGCCTGTTGATAGCATTATCCAAAAATATCGATGACTCCATAGCTGCTGGCGAGCAGTGTTATCATTGGAGATGATCCCACTTGGTCCATGACTCCATGAGTGTATCATTTGTATCTTTCTGACAGTTGCGAATTTTTGAATCCTACCTCAATTATTTTTACAGAAGATACGGGGGTGTAACCATAAGAAATGTGACACACTGAATATATTTTTGCGAATATATCTGAAATTGTGGAAGGAAAAGGTAGGGTTATATATATATTTGTGATGAGAACGCCTGGGACTATTCAACTGTGCCAAAATATACGGGGTGTTCCATTAGAAAAAACATAATTGGCTGCCGCACCTTTTCAACGTCACCCTGTATAAAATTTCTGATGATGCCAATGGATTCCACGCATCATACTGTATAAATATACGTTCGAAATTTTTTGATACCTCTCACCGTAAAGTAGTCAGAAAATAAAATCGAAATCGGCAAATTTTCAATTTCCCCCTGTATCTCTAAAACGAATGAAGATATCGAAATTTTGATTGTGCCATTCGAGGTTTCTCCAAAATCGAACCCGGAACATGTATATCGGTTTTTTGATAACTCCTCTAGTTATTGAGATAGACGGTGAAAACGCCCAATTTTGCCCACCCTGTACCTAATGTCAAATTTTTGCCTTCCTCTATATGTCCTATCATAGCACATGTACGTCATTTGTATGTCGATTGGATGTACAGTATATGGACCTCATGGACGTCAACTTTTAGGTCCACAAAGGTCCGGTAAAAGTCCAAGAAACGTCTAGATACACTGGATATAAAATCGTATATACGTGTTCGCCATCCTAGAAAACACACTTGTATTATTTACATATATTTGCCGTCAGTTTCATATGACGGATGTTCCATAACTTGATTCCCCCAAATTGACGTCAATGTGCTGTAAATTGTAGATACAAAACGTACATAATTTTATTTCCCTTGAATTTACCACGATGTTCCATATAATAGTGATATCTATTTTACTAGCATTCTTACATATTTTCAATTATACAGGTAACATTTTCGTAAACATGGAGTGTTTTTATATGTCCAGAAATTGTGGTGTCAAACTATTGGAAGGTAAGTGATATTTGCTGAATTTTGATTTGTTCGCTCGATTGATGTGTTCCCAATGGTGTCTTAAGATTTTGATGTTATGCTGCTAAGTTTAATTTTTTTTTTATCGTGGGGAATCTAATCTCAGGTCCTTCTTAAGGTGACTCGGGACATGCCCTGGAAAATATATCAAGAGACTTGGCTCAAGGCCATATCAAAATTATTCGATTCAAAATATGCATATATAGTAAAAGCCGTTCAAGAACGGTTGGAGAAGGCACCAGCTATAGAATTTTGGAAACCAATTATATAGAAAAAATATTTTATAACTGTTTTGATCACAAAAAAAATTAATCTGGAGACGTGTTTTCATTATTGTTTTAAGATTTTCATTGATAATTAGTAGACAAATGTATTTTTTAAAATGTGATTCTCGTTCCGACTCAACCAGAGTAGGTAAGACAATGTTTTCACTGCAAAGTTAACGCATGTCCTGAGTAACCCCTTTAGACGGGGTGAGTCGGAACATTTTTTTAATTGAAATATAATCAATTTATTTTTCCTTCCATTGTGTGAGAATATCTGGAAAGATGATAGGACCTGTAAATTTTATACAGGGTCGCTGATATGTATGGAAACAGGTGAATATCTCGGTAACCTGTTGATAGATTTTTTCGAATTTATATGTACAGTGTGATTTCAAAAGGTGGCTAATTTGAAAATTTTATAGCCAATATTGCCACTTTTTCAGTTATTCCGGATTTTTTTGTAACTTCCTTATTTTGAATAAAACACCCTGTACTCCATTGGATTTTCAGATTTTCCTTGAAGAGCTGATTCCATCTATCTATCACACTTGGGGTCAAGCGGGAATGATTATACATAGGTGAAGAGGGTGTGTAAATTCTAGATTTTTCAACTTTTATGATTTTTTTGTGTCGAAACTATCCATTATCGATCAAAAGCGCTCCAATGTTCCTATCTTTACTTTTGATTTACTATCTACTGACATTCAATTGGAACAGATACAGAGGGTGATCAGAATCATGAATTTAGAACCACCCTGTATTTATACATATGCCACCTTTCTTTGAAATACTCTGTATGATAAAATGAATACGGAAACTATTGTTACACACTACTAAAATAAATGATTTGGGTATAAATATTGCTTGAATCCCTAATCACTTCATTCAAGTGCTCCAGGCATGTACCATCAGCTATTATTAGTGAAATATCAGCAACAAAAGATTTTCACGCGTAATTAGGGATTCTTTCACAACAATAGATAATTTTGATATAATTAGGTATCATCTCAATTACACCAACAACCATTTATTAACATAAATATATAAAACCTAATACCTGGGTTTCGTAACAATTATTCACAATGTTGCGATCGGTGCAGCTGATTGTCGTTTGCCTGTTCAGTGTTAAGTATTCGGAAGCCTGTGTAAGTTTCATATCAAGATGGTATTTATATTAGGTGATATTTATCATTTAATTAGCTCGTGCTAATTAATTCGAACATTTTCCCTAGTATGTAAAAACTTCATAAACGATAAGATTTCCACAAAATTCTAAAACACACGACATGTTTCGCTACCACAGTAGCTTCGTCAGGTGATATACTGGTATAAGTTCATTGACCTATTCTACATATCAACCTCGCAGAATCCAAAGCTGCTGCTAGTACCCAAACAAGCAAATTATCTTTTTTTTTTTTTTCTAGCATATGGTTGGCGTAGAAGGAAACCATAGTTTTGATGATAATTTCGAAATTCTACACGTAGAAAAGGACTGAAACTCAATCATTTTTAATCATTAGAAATCAACAAACGCATAAATTTTGACATATTACTCAATGATCAATTAGACCTCAATAGTTCACCACTGTTGAATTTGTTTTCTTAGTAAGTGATAATATGTATCTGCTATCAACTATTTCAAGTTAATCCGGTATACCGTATTTTAATGTAGATATTGTGCCTAATTTCCGAAAATGGAGGTTTATCGTTCCTGTCCACAGGTAACTTATCCTTCAGGTTGGGAAAGTAGGATATATAAAAGTCAAGCAAGCCAACGTTAGTTTAGTTCATTGTACCAGTATATCATCTGACGAAGCTACTGTGTTAGCGAAACATGTCGTTTGTTTGAGAATTTTGTGGAAATCTTATCGTTTGTGAAGTTTTTACATTTGCCATGGATTTCCATCAAGTAACGGCCGAGTTAACTGTTGAAGATCACTCTAACTCATGACCATCCAGGACTATTCTGGTTCTGGGAGGCCTCCGCTCCCTCCTGAGTGGGACCAATTGTGTTTTTGCAGGATTCAATTTGATCTTCTATCTTAGGAAGTACTCCTGAAGAGAATTCAGCGCGCTTTGGAGGTTCATAGCTGCTTGCTCGGAATTTGTCAAATATGCAAGAACTGCCGTATCATCAGCAAAAAGCGTCATCTTGTTCGATAATGAGATATGAAACATGTACAATATTCCTGAAAAAAGGTAGCAGATCTAAGCCAGAAGCATCTGATCTACTGAACTGTTTCAATAATAATAGTTCAAGAAGTATTGTGTTATCTAGATAAGTGGTCAATGAAGTCGTTCAGTGAATTATTCATCGTAGTGGTCATTCTTGACAATAGGCTAAGTAAAAGGGGACATACAGAGTGTGTTATTAAGAGATTACCCTTTTTTTTCTCTAACACGTGCTTACTAAAAAAAATAGTATTAATTTTCAACCATAGATTCATGAGTTAACCCAAACCTCAAAACCACATGAAACCATATATACTCCTACGAAACACTACAAGTTGATGAAGTTGTTGAACATTCTGGCAGCCATTATACAAAATGGCTTTTTAACCATTCAGGTTATGCTATCGATTGGAAAATACATCATATATGTCAGGAGGACTATTTGAGAAGAAAATATCTCTCCAATAGCGCCTATATCGATTTATAATGTGATTTTTACAATAATGCTCGCACACTTACATATACCCCACTTCTTCGTGCATAATGTTTTCTCTCAAAAGTCGCCTTAGGATAATTTCGTTGGTAAATTCATATTCAGATACCCCTAAAACATGAAAATCCATACCTCACACGGCTCGCTTCTGGTCATATTTATCAGGGCAATTTTATATGGAATCGACATATGGATCACTTTTGCAGGTTTATTCTGATTTTTTTCAAATAACCGTGGAATTAGCCCCCTACCCCCTGAAAAGAGATCCCACACGCTCAAAAAATTGGGTGCTGCAGGTCAATCGTTAATTTGGATATGAAGAGGACATGTGCAAAGCTGCTCGCTTCCTATACGAAATGATTTTTTTTTTCATCCGATATTTCCGGTGTACCGCTATCATTATTATACAAATCCATTATATCTATACAATCCATAAAGTATATAACTTTAATTTTTTTATCAACAGAATGGATACACAGTTACATTGGATCAAATTAAAACATGTACTGCTGACAGTGTTGCCAGACCTGTAGGAATTACCTCCTCGTTAGACAAGGACTGCAATATTGTTATGAATGGGTGTTTAGAAATGACCAAACCAGTAAAGTATTCTAAGGTGAGTGTAATTGAAAATAGTACATATATTCATTTGACGAGCAGTGAATAATAGTATTAACTTCCCACGAAAATACTGCAGATCATACGAGTGGGAAATTATCATTCCGTGCGAGTTATACACTATAATATTTTACGGCTGTAACATATACCTAACAGAGAAATTTCTCATTCCTTCGGCTTGTAGCCATCTGATTTTCTCTTATAAGTAATGCTCTATTGGACAGAGCGATATCATTGCTTGAAATATGAAATTTCATAGGAGATGAAATTTATTGTGAAACAATATAACACAATGAAGGCATTGTGTTGTCATGTAGTCAGGTGTAATCGAGTAATACCGAGGGTAATACCATGAGGGCTCGCAATAATAATATCGATAGTAATTCTATCAGAAAACAACGCATCACGATTCCGCAAGACTCAATTTCAATTTGATCAGCAATTGGATCGAGTGATTTCTGACAGAATTTTCGATGCCATTGTAAGCACGAGTTGTATTTATATCGAGACAATTCCACGACCTAATGAAACTGTTATCTCCATGTCATATCAGATGACAAGATGTTGTTCTATTCAGATTCGTGGTTGTCGTGAGGACGTGGTCTTACCAGCTCTAAAGGAAAAAGAAGAGTACTTTCTAGGCACATCATTCTGATTGGTATCTTATACAGAGAAGTACATAAAAACGACCAGGATTGTAACTTTTGAATTATTCTGGATAGTGTTTTGAAAATTGATGGGTAGCAAGTATACCAAATTGATCATCAATTGATGAAACAAATTTTCTTTTATCACAGTTCCAGTTTCACCGTAAACGACCCCAACTTTTGATTTTCAAATGGGACACCCTGTACTGTATTTCATAATCGGTTGGAGATCATCATGACGAATTCACCCAGACAGCACTGGATATTCCTAGAATATTCTCTAAATATGCTAAAAAGGAGGAGTATATTCCGAATATTCATCGATTATTCCTAGAATATATACATGCCTCTTGAACATCTAGAAGGAATATTCCAAAGTGATGTTCAGGGAATATTCAGGTATGAATTTTCCAGGAATATTCCCAAATGAATATTCACTCTTGTATATTCATGAAATATTCCCAACTGAATGTTCTGTAGGGTATATTCATGAGATATTCTCAACTGAATATTCTGTGCGGTATATGCATGAAATATTCTCAACTGAATATTCTGTGGTGTATATTCATGAAATATTCCATGAATATTCCTATTTTTCTCAACACATAAATACCCATCATTATTTCAGAGTTGTGAGTATCGAACATCAAAATTAAATGTAAAGGGATTTTGAAACAAAAATTGTTTATGATCCGATTTTGAACAACGCTCTCACAAGAAATGGATATGTACAACATCAATCAATTCGATTACTGGCCTAGTGGTCAAGGCGTTGGTCTGATAGTCTTGAGGTCACGAGTTCGATTCCTACTAGGGTCACTTTTTTTATTTTAGAATATGTTTATTGGAATATTCCAGGAATATTCAACATGGAATATTCTTTTGGATATATTCTATGAATATCTGAGGAATTCCCATTCGCATATTTAGAGAATATTCCACAGATATTCCGGAATATTTCAGATTATTTCTAGAATATTCCAATATTCCAAAAGGAATATGATAGGGAGATTCATGGAATATCTGGTGCTGTCTGGGCAACGATACCAGGTTTGATAGGGTTATTTCAAAAATTTCAAATGATTACAAACATATTTGCGTTCGAAGTTTCCATAATTATGCTCAATGGGTGTGACTTCGCAATATCAAAACTTCTTTCTCTGTCACACTCATTGAGCATATGGAGACTTTAAATGCTAATATCTGCGTAATCGTTTGAAATAACCCTATGAATTTGTTATGACCATCCCTAACCGATTATGGAATACAATACAGGGGGGTCCAATTTAAAAATCGAAAGTTGGGGTCGTTTCCAGTAAAACCGGCAGTTATAGAACAAAAATTGTTTCGTCCATTAATGAGCAAATTGGTATAATAGCTGCCCGCCAATTTTCAAAACCCTATCTCGAATAATTCAAAAGTTCAAAAGTTACAGTCCTGGCCGTTTTTTGTGCACTCCTCTGTATATTGCAGGAGATGGCTGTTTCATATACGTCGTGGAATTGTCAGGTAAGGGAATAGTATTGAAGACTTACAATGTATGATTTATTGATTCAACAATAAAGTGTATATAAGTCCCAGCTCTAATAGAAGTTTCAATGAGCATGAATATTTTTAGGATGTAACCCAATATTCAGATGAGTTTCATTTTATTGTTAGAACTCAAAATGAACAGTTTTTGATTTATTCGACCCAAAATGATAGCTTGCATAGGCATTCTCCATAATTTTCAATAACAGATCATTAAGACGATATTTCTCCTAACGGTAAGTTGATTATAGATACTTGTTAGTTTTCATTCTGAGGCTCAACCGGAATAGTGATTATCTCATGCAGAAAAATAGATATATAATAATTTAGCTATTTGTACATACAGGGTTTTTCAAAAAAACCTGACCCCCTTGATAGGGTAGCACTGCAAAATAGGTTGGGTTTGTTCAGTGAAAAAAATGATCTTTCCACACATTTTTCACGATTACGTCGAAACTACTGGCAACATTGTGATGAAATTTTGTATGGATGTTTTTTGGAACCTGACACCTCGAAAAATTTGTTTGTATATCTGACTCTCATAGAGGGCGCCAGTTACACGGTTCGTACCGATTAGTTTTAAACATCACTTTTTTGAGGTTAGAATCTCCAACTCAAATTTGATGTGAACTCAAACATCATTCAATTTCACACCAAAAAGGTACTCTTCGTAAAACTCGATCCTGTGTTCCGCTTTCGGAATATTTCGATTTGAAATTTATGGAATAATTGCTGATGCTCGTATAAAATGAATTTTATTGAGATCAATTACCTACTTGTTTATTCAGATTCAGAAACAATAACATCATTCTTGTGCTGTGGTTATTGATTGAACAAAGAATCACTAATAGAAAATTGAGAAATATTTGACTAGAACCATAAAATAATGAATCAGTTAGAGTAAGTGTTCAAAATGTCCCTCGTTTCCACGACACGATTCGATATTTTTTCTTTTTATGAACGCATTATTTTTCTAAACGGTTGAGGATCAGCTGTAAGGTTATCTAGAATATCTAGTGATGTTAAATTCTGACTTGCAACTCCAGACGTGAATTTACCTCCGTAGCATACACTTTTTGTTTCATACAACGAAACTGTGTAGCTAATCCATATTTTTAGTAAAATTTGTTTCAATGTTATTCTTGTGGACCATTGCTAAATCAATGAGTTAAGCATTAGAAATGTATTGTTTTTTTCGGTTTGCAATAAATAGGTGATTATTTTTCAAAATACTCACTCTATAATAAGTACATAGCTTTATACCAGCAACAGTTATCACTTCATCATTTTCAAATCGGAATATTTCGACAACGGAACACAATATCGAGTTTCACCAGGAGTACCTTTTTGGTGTAAAATTGAATGATGTTCAAGTTCACATCAAATTCGGATTGAAAAATCTAATCTCAAAAAATTTATGTTTAAAACTAACTAGACACGAACCGTGTAACTAGCGCCATCTATGAGAGTCAGATAAAAAAACAAATTCATGCCATGTGTCAGATACCAAAACACTTCCATACAAAATGTCATTACAATGTTGCCAATAGGTCAACTCCTTGTATCTTGAAAACGGATGCCGTTACGACATTTTTTTAATGAGCAAATCCAACTTATTTTGCAGTGTTCTACCTACCCTAGCAAGGGGGTCAGGTTTTTTTGAAACACCCTGTATATTAGGGGAGCCGGGGAGCAAAGGTATCAATTTCTTCCCAGGTGTCATCCCATGTGTTAAATGCCCTCCACTACTCGTCGTCAAACTTTATACGCGGGAGGAAATCTGTGTATACCCTTCCTCCCTTAATATTGATATACAGGGTGTCAGTTTTTTGTAGCTGGACTCTAATAGCTTGAAGAACACATATTTTGAAGATAAAAAGTTTATGTGAATATGTATGAGTGGGATCTTCGTATTCGATATACAACGAGTCAAAGTTCGAGATTTTTAATGTTCTTCTAGTTTTCTACGATTTTCAAAAACAGGGATTGAAATTTGGTATATCTGTTACACCTGAAAACCTCAATATTTAGACCTTTAAGGTGATTTCGGTTACTTACATGATGATAAACATTTTGGGGTTTTACCCGATTCAACCCCATTCCTCCTCTTAATTTAGATTCTCTGTTTTATTTGGAATCATTTCGCTCTCCAATATGTTCTTCGAAAACTGTGTGAATTACGAGATAAATGCTAAAAATAATTTGCCACTTGTGATAAACCTTTTTATCGAACATATACAGGGTACAGGGTGTTCCTTAATGATATGCTAATATTCAAAGGGCCGATTATTCAACCCATTTCAAGAATTAAACTACATATGAACGTATCTCGTAACTTCTGAAATACAGGGTGTCAATGTTGAAAATATGCATAGATCCATTTTGGCCACCCTGTATTTTTTCGTAATGGCCGGGCGGATGCCCTGAATGGAGTACTCAGACATCAAAATTTTGAGTCTGGTCTCTTTTTTCCGTTTTTTTTTCTAAAACGAAGCGTTTCATTGAGTATCAACAAGAGGGTTTTTTTGTAGCATAAGCATTTCACGAAATTCGAAAATTTTCCGTCGTGGATCACTTTTGAGTAAAATATAAACAATAATATTCCCGTAACGGTGCCTGGTAGAAAAATTGAAAATTTTTGTATATCAGAAAATGCACCTTGAATGCATTAAAGACGTTTACCAAATTTCATGAAGATGTGTACAATATGGTCTCAGATATAAGAAAACTGAATATTCTTCAAAACTTTCATCACCCTGCATCGACATTCAGGACATACGTTCATTCGGAATTTTCTTCTTTAAATGAGTCAAAGAATGAACCCCTCAAATATTTGCATGTCTTTAAGGAACACCCTGTAAATACTCTATTTGGCATTTCTTGATAATTGACTAGAAGACTTGAAATGAACGGAAGCTTTCACAAGAAGTGGCAAAACTTGAAAAACACAAAAAAAATATATAAAAATATCACACCATCTGTATATCCGAAAAGAGGCTCCTACGCATATATATTTATATGAGATATTTATCTCAAAATAGTACTTACCTTCTCTAAGCTGTTGATGTCCTGCTACAAAAAACTGACTCACCCTTTATAAATAGCTACTATATATTCTTCCACTACTGAAAATGATGAAGAATTACGCGAAGAGAAAATCATATACCATGATAAATCGAGAAAAAATTAGCCATATCCAAATTATTACTAAAATGAATCACTCGAGGCTGAATCAAAAATTCCTAGTTAGCATTGAAACTATAAGCGCATGCGTACATATAAGTTCATTGGCAAAACATTTTTGTTTTTCTGAGATAAATTACAACAATTTAGACTTTGTAATAGACCTTCCGTGACAACCTGGTATAGCATTAAGTGAAATTTGAAATTCACTGAAAACTATTTTTCATTCACAAACAATACATAGTTTCTTCATCAAGTTCTGAATTGTTTTCGGGAAGAATTAACCTGAGAATTAGTTCTCGTGTTTGCATGCTCAGCTGAGCATTGTAATATGCATAGATGTTAAAAATTGATGATCATGTTTCAGGGAAAGTATGTTGCATCAAAACCACCACTTCCAGAAATGTCTGGAGATATTGATCTCTGTGACTTGATGGAAAATGGGGGCCCAGTGCCGCAAATCGACGAAATGGTCACTATACTTAATGTACCTAAAAAATGTCCAATGGAAGCGGTAAGTTTTCAAACATTCTATTTCTAATAACCAATCAAAAATGTTATGTAATTGGCAGCTTTTTAGCCAGATTCTAGCAACAGAAGTTTTGTTTGGAAATATCTTTACAGATTTATAGTCCTCGAAAATTCAAGCTTCTTTTTATTCAACCGACTATTATGGATATCTCTATTTATATACTGTCTGTAGGTTTCGAGGAGGTGGTACATTCATTATTTCAGATTTATTGGGATTTCCTCTTCTCGTTTCAATGGAATAAGTTTATGAATATTATTTCAATATACGTGTAGTGAGGACAAATCAGATTATTTGCCCCAAAATGTCACTGCGTTTAAAGAATTTTCCTATTAGAGAGCCTGAACTAAAAGAAAAATTCTCTTGATTGTCATGTGACAATTTTTTTTGAAAAAGGTTTGGAGAAGAGAAATAAAGGTATATAGAAAACATTTCAAATTTTCATTTACCTTTGGACGTTTGGGGAACGAATCTGCTCCCGTTTTCAACATAAAAAATGGTTATTTGAATAGCAAATTCGTATTTGTCTAGAAACTTTTCAGTTCTCAGTGACAATTGGTGACGTTGGCAATCAAATGAGTTATAGGATGTTTTCATTAATTAATTAATTAATCTTGAATTCACCAACTTCATTCAGTAGTGAATATCATGTTCTATCTATATCAACAGAACATGAAGCAATACTATTTTTTCCGTTCAGAAGAATGCAAGCAGATTCCTTGATTTTTCTCTTCTGGTTGTTATCTTCTTGTGGAATGATTTTAATATTATTCCACTCTACCATATATGTTGTCCATCTTCAGTAAACTAGCTGAACATATCCTCAATTATCTGATTTGTCCTTACTACACGTATATTGAAATAATATTTATATTTTTATTTTATAGAAACGAGGAGAGAAAATCCCAAAAAATCTGGAATAATGAATCTCTACTTATACTTATATTGAGTTGTCCTCACGGAGAGAGATCGATTAATGAAAAAACTGTACAGATCTCTCTATCTCAAATTAGTTACTATACAGGGTGTTTCTTTACTACGGTTCCTAACTACAGGAGGTGATTCCTTAGGTCATTTTAGGAAGAAAAGTTTTTTTTTTATCGATTGGAGCGCACGAAAGGGAATCCCTATAATGTTCAAAGAACATCGTGCGTTCCTAGGAAGGATAAGGACAGAAGGTAGGTATTGGATTTTTTTTTGAATTTTTGGAGATTATATGTTGTTGGGAATACTTCCACAGGCAATGAATTCCAGAGCCTAGCCGTTCTATGGATGAAGGAGTCTTGATAAAGTGCTGTTCGACATCTTTCGAGGTTGACGACGAAAGGATGTGCTGACTGGGCTTGTCTAGTTCGTCTGATTGGTATTGCTAGTGAAGGGATGATTGCAGAGATTTCCGAAGAACATTTCCCGTGGAAGTATCGATAGAAAAGTGAAAGGTCGCCGACCTTTCTACGGTGTTCCAATGATGTCAAAGAGTGAGTGAGTGTGGCGTCACCCACCAGGCGAATGGCTCTTCTCTGGATGGAATCTAAGAGCATCAGCGTATGTTTTGGTGCTGAACCCCATATGTGGGAACAGTATTCTAGAACAGGCCGCATCTGCGCCTTGTAGATCATGAGAAGCTGTTGAGGTGTAAAGTAGCTTTTCGCACGGAACAAGAATCCGAGTTTTTGTGAAGCAGCTTTTGCGATGGATCTGACATGATTATCCCATGAAAGAGTGTTGCTGATGGAAATACCGAGCATAGATATGGTGGGCTTGGTGGGGATGGTGGAGCCAGACATTACAATATCGGGCATACTGAGTTCCGCCTTTCTAGAGAAAATGCAGGCTTGAGTTTTGGTGGCGTTGAATTCAACTAGGTTGTTCGTTCCCCAGGCTGTGATTTCAGCAAGATCCTCATTGACAGCATTGACCTGCCTGCGCCGTTCCTATTAACATATGTCCGGAGTTGCTTCGTTTTCACACAGGGCGTTGAAATTAAAGATAAAAAACGGTAATTACAAAATATCATGAATATCCTGGAACCGATTCCGTTGAACTTTGGTACTCATCTTTGAACTCTAATAAGGCGCTCATTTAGCCCTATTCAGATTGAAATTATTGGGGCCAGTGGCGTCTCAGTGGGCACCACAGCCAACAATATTGTGAAAAAAAGTACGCCACTGACATTTTTGGTAATTTTTTTCATTTTTGAGATTAAGCAACTCAAAATACAACTTTTTGGTCTCCTGTATTTTCTTTATATCCAGCTCCATTCTCGAGAAAAAAAAAACTAAAAATGAACACCTGCATTGGAGAAATGATGTTTTCATTGTTTCCGCCAAAAATATAATTGACACTTGATATGCTGGAATTTTAGGAAATTCAACAATTAAAAGTACCAAATTTCAACCAAATCGGTTCCAGGATATTCACGATATTTTATAATTACCGTTTTTTTCTCTTTAATTTAAACGCCCTGTATCTCAGAAACGAAGCAACTCCGGACATAAGTTCATAGGAACTTCTCTTCCCAAAATGTCCTTACAAATCATCCCCTGCAGTTAGGAACCGTAGTTAGGAAACACCCTGTATACCGGGTGAGTGAAATTCGAGTAGATGCATGGGTATCTCGGAGACATTCAGAGCTTCAGAAAAGGTTGAATGGGGACAAAGTTGCGTAATTCGAAAATTTCCGAATAGTTCCGAAGATTTTTGGAAAAAACCGAATATTCGCGATTTCAGTTTTTATTTCTATTTGAATCTATTTAAATAGATGTAACAAAGCAAACGACTCATTCTCATTACTACTTTGTTTGTTCTTCAATATGGTGTTATCAGATTCTCATACCGACGTTTCGTCTTTGATATGCCATCATCAACTTTGTTTTTGAATACGGCCCTTGATTTTTTATGGATTTTGAGAGCTTCCAATCTCCTCAAATCAATAAGTCAGTTGATATTTCGCTGCTGTGGTAATTATCATCTGCATTTATCAAAACCATATCTACCTCAGACGAATAAAAGTCTGAGATATCTACCAAGATTTTCATGGTTACAGTGACAACAACGACGTGATACATCCCGGCCTAGACCGGGAAGTACGTACTTCCCGGAATAGGCCGAAAACATGCAACTTCTTCAAAGAAAAAGCCCCCGGAAAGTGATCAATACCCGGGGACGGTTGCAAAAAAAATTGTTTCGTCGACCTCTACAGAAAAACAACTATTTCCAAAGACAAGTACTTTTCGTCCGCAGACACTAACTTTTCGTCCGGAAACACTTTTCGTCCGCTACAAGGTTGCCAGTTCTACTCAATTTTCAGTAGATCTCCTGATTTGCATATTGATCTACTGATCTACTGAAACATTCCCCCGAACATTTCATAATCTACTGAAAAATATGTTGACACTTATTTATTATTATAATAATTATGAATATTATTATTAATATTTAGTTAATCACATGCCCTTATGAATTCGAGTATAAATTGCATGATATTTCAGCACTCTCTGTTTAAATTAATTTTACAAAATAAGAAAATAAGTAATAAATGTACATATAGGTACTAAATGATATGTATATGTATAAACCAAAAAAGGAGAATAATTTATCTGATTCAGATAAAATTCAATGTTTTATATAGCTCTGTTATAATAGTTTGTTTCTTACGTTCAATTTTTTCATTTGTTTCGTATTTTTGTTGTTCATTTTAACTATTTGTTCCTGTTTTTAATATACTCAAATCTCCGATGTAACTGTATATTGTGATATTTGAGAGTATTTTTGAATTGAGGATTAGGCGAATATATGATTATTTTTCTATCAGAATGTTTGTTTCGTTTGTGTCTATTTTGTAAAAAATAGGTTACTTTTCTGTATACGAAAAGTACATAAATGTTTTGACGGCATAGGTTTATTTCATTATCCTTAGGTACTTGGAATTCGTATAGCATAAAATAGATCTTAAACAGATCTATTGAAATCTACTGAATTTTTAAAGGTATTTACTGATGGAATGAAAATTGAACTGGCAACCCTGGTCCACGTGAAGAGTGAGTTGACAACAACTGTCATTTGCTGTTGTCAAATTAATAATTCACGAAATTCGATAGATTTCATGTAGGAATAGGACCGTGATGTGAATATAAGTGTTTGAGGTCGACGAAAAAATGTAATAATATGCACCTCGGCGAAAACTGTCTATGTCTCGCCTGATTGCTAGCCTCGGCTGAGGCCTCGGCTGTCAATTTACAGACTCGAATATAATAGACAGTGTTTTTTCCTTGAAACATAAATAACTATTATCGTACTGGATTATTTTGAAATACTCATTATGTAAGTAATAAAAAGTGCAAATGTCGAATCGTTACATTCAGAATCCAAGATGAACTGATGGACATATCGAAAGAAGTTGAGTAACTGACAAAATATGAAATTTTATGTCATATAAATCATTTCCCGAATATTATTTCAGTAATTTAATTAACAAAAAGTCCCATGGGTGAGCCACTCCATTATTGGGGGACACCTGCAATATATGAATAGACACTCAGTTTATTGTTGAGAGGTCAACAATTCACTTTTCATGTTTTGTGTTTCAGAAAAAGTATTGTATATCTCCGAAAAAGAACAAAATCAGCATCTCAGCGTTCAAGAAAAAGCTTGCTATGGGGGCAGGTACCACCACAGTGAAATTAGATGTGGGTCACGACACTGGGAGAAGCTGTGTTGAATTCAAATTTTCTTTAAATAAACCCAGAACTGGTTGATAATCATATATCATGAAATCATATAGAAGAATATGTCTAAATAAATGCTACGATATGCCATTATTTTGGTTTCCTGTCATTTCTTTTTATACAAGGTGTCCCTAAATCAGCCTGCCATACTTCAGTAGCAGATTCTTCGATCAAACAAATTAATCTGGGATTATGAAAATCTACACCGTTTTACAGAAAAAAAAGTGCTTTCGTTCCGTATCGATCAGATGTATCATTTTCATGCGAAAACGTTGTCAATTTACAAATCATATAGGTACCCGAAATAAGCCTGCCATTTTTCAACAGCAGAGAATATATGGAGACGGAGTGGCGGTAGGTGTTGGAACTCATTTGAAATTTTGAAGGTTACATAGTTCATATATTGGGTAATGAGTTGATCAAAAATTTCATTTCAGCAAAATTTTCAGGCTTACATATTGAAAACAGCCTGCAATTTACTGAACATGTAAATAGCATTTGTAAGAAAGTTTCGTCAGGTTGCTTTGCCGTAAGAGTATCAGCAAATGAACTAGGAACAGATGCTGCCAAAAGTGTGTGTATTTTGCACTAATAGATTCTCACCTACGATATGGTATCTGTTTTTGGGGAACATGCCCGCAATATTTATTTGATATGGTGTTTGTTTTACAAAAAAGAGGGGTTAGATATATCAAACTTTATTAGCACAGTGCTCTTCATTACAATCAAATCTACAATAAAATACGATAAGTCAATAAATAAAAACATAGAAATATGGAACTAAGACACAGACACATGAATTACGTCACATATTTTAATATAAAGGGTAATTAACAGATTTCTCCTTTCTCAATTGATCAATCAATAATTTTCTTTCACAAATAACACACACGATTCTTTGAAACTATCTGGTGACACACATCTTTTCATTTCACAGGGCAAATTATTGAACAATACCAGACCTTTTGTATATAAAGTATCACAGACAATATTTACTGAATTTATATCGAAATCATTCGCTGCTTGTCTTCTGGTATTGTGACAATGTACATCTTGAACATAATTTAGCTCACTTGATAAATACAAAGGCAACATGTTATTTTTCAATTCATAAACAAAAATAAGTGTATTATATGAAACTCTTTGCTTGATATTCAGTAATTGCAATGTGTTCAGCATTGTTGTGACTGGTGTGCGTCTTTTACAACCCAAGATAGCTCTCATTGCACGATTTTGGACTTTTTGCAGTGTATTAATCTGTTCGTTACTCAAGAAACTCAGTAAGAACCACAATAATCAATATGAGGTGAAATTATTGACTTGTAAATTGTTAATTTCGTGAAATGAGATACTTTATCACCAAGCCTGTACATGAAACCTATTTTTCGCGCAATTTTCTTTTTAATGTATTCACAATGGCTGTTAAAATTCAGTTGATTATCAATGATCACTCCCAAATACTTGAACATTTTCACTTCTTCAATGATTTCTCCGTTTATCAGAATATTGAATTTTATTTTATTTTCCTGGATCATTTTTTAATTTGCTTTCGAAGATATAATCATGAATTTCGTATTTGTTACATTAATTTTGAGTCCATTGTCACAGATCCAGGTGAATATATTCTCAAGATCTTCATTCAATAATTTCTCCACATCCTCTTTCTTGATGCCAGAGAAGTAAAGCAAGGTATCATCCGCAAATAGTTTCAGCTCACAATTCTGGACGTGATGTATAATGTCATTTATGAATAAAATAAATAATATTGGTCCCAGTACCGATCCTTGTGGTACTCCATGCATGACCTTTTCCCTATTTGAGTAAGTGTTATTGTATTTAACAAGTTGTTCTCTATTCTGTAGATATATGTGTAAGGCTAAATTTAGGGATTCTTGCAGACCGTTATTCGTAAAGTACAATATTTTGATATTGCCTTGCATTTTTTTTAGAGACGGTATGTTTGATGCAAAAAAAACGAATGAAATGTTCGCTACGTCCCAAATCCATACAAGAAACAAACTCAACATACGTTTACCACCAGTATCTTAAAAAGTAAAAAATTTCTTCATTTAGAATGGTGAGAAAATATTTAATCATCTGCCAAATGAGATTAAATGTATTACCAATAGAAAAAATAAAAAAAAATTGAAAAAGCTCCTGTTATCAAAAGCATATTACTCCGTGGACGAATTCTCCGCAGATAGAAATGTTGACAATGGACTGCATAATGTTTTATTCAACTCGTAAAATTCTGTTTTATACTCACAATGTGACTGTGCATATCCGCATATCCTGTATTTATATATCTGCTCGACGTTATTTATTTTTTTGTTTTTATCCTATTTTGTGTCACGTTATTTTACAAAATTGACTGTATTTATTTAATATTTTTTCACCTTACCACATATGAACTTTGTCAATGAGAGTATATCTTCATACAATAAAGTATATATTTATTTATTTATTTATTATTATTTATTTATTATATTTTGTGCATCTCGAAGGTGAAGCTACTTTGGCCAAGTTTTACGTGAGAAATAGTGTATGGTTTTATAAGTGACGAATGTTTATCCAGACGAGTGAAACACTATATTTTTTCTTCAATGCCGTTTATATCATGATAATATATTTTCTGTAGCGGGAGGAAGGTATTACATTTTATCTCACTTAACAAAATGATGTGATTTTTTAACTCTCGTCACTATAGTACCGAAAGTTAACGTGATGAGAATGTCTCTCACTTGCAACAGAAATCACATTTTTGTTGATAGTGATCTATCACAAATTCATGTCTCTTCGAAAAAGGTTGAATAGAAAAAAAGGTATTTCTAATTCATAATTTATTATTAGACCTCTTTCACAAATCTTATAATTAAGCACAGCCTTCGTCATATATGTTTATATGTATAAGAAACACTAACAATTAAACAAATCTCATTCGTCCACTATTCTTTGGTTTCAACATTATCACCAGCGTCGTTAGTTATAATATCGACTATATTTTGTAGTCGTTCCTCTTGTTCAATATTTTCCCCACCTACTTTTCTGTTACTACACCCACTACCAGCTTTGTCTATCACGTCTACATTAACTTCAGATTTATAGGACTCTCCTTGTCGGACTTCTGATCTAGATGAACTTTCATTTTCCTTTGCATTGTCACTTCGGATACTATTGATACTGCTGTTACTGTTACTGTTTACTTGAGAAGAAAGTTCCACTTCCAATATTTTCACAGATTTCAGAGTAGGTGCCGCTTTCTCGGGTAAGGAAAACAATTCATGAGATTGTGTTTTGAACAGGCCTTTTTCCTGGAATATAAAAATCATAAGTTATTAGTTAATTCTCATGTTACATCTCCTAGAGGTACTATATCATCAATTTCATCTCTCAGACACAATGTGTTCGTGATTAAAATAACATGTTTTCAATGGATACTGATGAATACCACGCATGATCGTTCTTTATGCAGCGTATCTTTTCCACCCATATAATACAATTCAATACAAAATATTTATTTACATAGACTTTGTAGTATTGGATAATGCCAAAATAGGTTCTCTAACTGAAAAATCTGATATACAGTGAGTGAACATACATAATAGGTAAAAAACAAACTTCGAGAAATTTTGTATACAGACAAAATAAGTGGTAAGGACATCTAGAAAAAGTATTAGGTGCGATGTCAAAGACGTTGCAATTGAAAAAAATCATTGATTGAATGTTAAGAATGTTTTATCAAAATAACGTTGAGGGTATTTTTGAATTTATGTTTTCTTGTATTTTCTTCAAGTCAATTGGTAGTTCATTATACAGGGTGTCCCAAATTGCAAAAGTCATTGATACATCTGGTGCTTGTGATCTCGACGAAAGCAAACGCTTGGGTTGGGTTATTAACCTCTGATCAAACTTTTAAGATCAATGTCTTCCAAAATATGTTTACTCGCCAAGATTGTTTTTTCTTATTCTATCATCCACTTCCTTTATTGCAACAATTTCGAAACCACCCTGTATACGAGCTAACGATTGTCTCCAAACTAGGTGATCTCACAAACGTTATATGGAAAGTGGATATGAGGAATAATGAATGAACCATTTTATAAGAAGTATATATTTATACAGGGTGTCCCGAAATTAGCCTGCCAAACTTCACCAGCGGCTTTTACGACTAGAAATAGAAAGAAAACTTTCAATGAACATGAGTCGAGAAATGTCTCCTAAGGGAGCTACGGCCACCTGAAAGGAGGCTCCTGAAGATGATATTTCTTGAGTATTTCCGAAACTCCATGTGATAAAAAGATGCAATTTGGTACAAGAACTAAACTTTCCATGCCCAATGCAGTGTGAATGAAATCATTTAAAAATTTCAATCAGGAGTGTATAATACAAGGTGGGACTTCATTGAATATTGCTCAAAATATGCATTTTCCGACAATTTAATCCCGGATTATGAAATTTCACATCTCTTTACAGAAAGAAGATTCGTGACGATCAGATGTATTATTATCGAGTGAAAGCAAGTTAAAAATATTACCTATCACATCTCAGATATTATGCATAACATTGCAATGAGGCGTAGTGGATATGAAAAAAAAATGCACAAAAATTTTAGTAGTTCTCTCATCATCTTTCTCCTATTTTTCGCGCTTTTATAATATTATTGTTTGGCAAAAAGAGAGTACTTGAGTATGATTTGAAAATGGGCAACGTTATGCATAAGATGTGAGTGCATCAATATTTTTAAATAGATTTCACTCGAAAATGATACATCTGATCTATGCGGAACAGGAGCACTTTTTTTTGTGAAACGGTGTGGATTTTCATAACCCGAGATTAAATTGTCACAAAATATACATACGAAAAAGTTTGAGCAATATTTAATGTGGTCCCACCCTCTATTATACACTCCCGAATGAAACTTTGAAATGATTTAATGTTCACCATATTGTCATGGAGAGTTTAGTTCTTGTACCAAATTGCATCATTTTATCACTTGGCGTTTCGTAAATATTGAAGAAATATCATCTTCAGGAGCTCCCTCTCAGGAGACCGTAGCTCCCTTAGGGTCATTTCTCGACTTATATTCATTGGAACTATTCTCCCTATTTTTGATCTCAGAAGCCGCTGGTGAAATTTGGCAGGCTAATTTCGGGACACCCTGTATAATTTGATGGCTAGCACAATGAGATATTCGCTACCTTTTTCAGTCTGTGCTTGGGTAAGTCCAAATCCATACTTACTCTAAGACCATATTGGTTATTTCTAGAAACATCATGTCCGATACGATATTTTTGACCTACAGTATCGTTGCAAGAATATTAACAGGGGGGGGGGAAATGTTAGTTGGATCAATTCTGGGAATAGTTCTTTACAAGGAAAGGTGTGCGATTTGAATAATATAATTCCAATTATTCTCTTTTGAGCTCTGAAAACCTCATCAACCCTGGCACAGTTGCTCCAGCACATGATGGCATAAGAAAGACAAGAATGAACATTTCCAAAATAATGAAGTAATAAGAGATAAGCGTTCACCAAAGAGATACGATTCTTGATTGCATAGTAATCTGTCACGTGGCTCGTGGCTCTCAATCATTGTTGAAGTCCCCAAGAGTCCCAAGACCCTGCATTCGATCGAAAAATGCTTACTATATACCCACTCTTGGTAGATAAAGAGGAAAATGATATACGTTTAGCGATATATTAGATAAAATATATTTCTTTTACGAAATAGATGAATGGATATAGAGAAATGCACAAAAAACCGCCAGTACTGTAACTTCTGAATGATTTGAGATCAAATTCAAAAATTTGGCGGGTAGCAAGTATACCAAAACAATTTTTGTTCTATATCACTTATTTTGGATTAACCGGTAACAATCCCAACTTTTTGATTGTTAAATAGGATCACCTGCATATTTCTTCATATTCGGATTCAGGATATATCGTTTCACACACACTATAGAAACTGTTCTCGATCAAAAAAAATCAAATATACAGATAGGGTTGTCCTGTTGAAAAATTGGAAGTTGGAGTTTTTCTTGGTTGAACCGGAATAAGTGGTTAAATAAATATATTCTGTCAATTAAAGGCAATTTGGTGAACTTGCTACCCATCAAATTTCAAAATCCGACCTCGAATGATTCAAAAATTCCTGCCCTTACTGTTTTTCGTCCACTTCTATGTGTCTATTTTTCTCAACACATCAGTCAGGAAATAGAATCGCCATTTTGCCAAAAATTTAGCTTTCACATTTTTGAGTTCGGCATCATTGAATAATGTAATCCATTCCATAGCAAATGCAGGTCACTCTAGAAATATTTCATCATCCTCATTTCCATGTATATGTTAGATGTTAGTACATACAAGCTTTTTGGTTTCGCTGTTGAATTGAAGCCCACGCGAAATTCCACACATGTTCCTCTATAAACCAATGATATGATTCAGGTATTTAAAATCAGTGTCTCACCTCATATTCAGGACAGCAATGATTCTGCTTGCAGTCATCTTCAAGACAAGTCATCAGACAATTCGGAGCGTATTTATTGGACCTCAAACTATCCATACTAGCATCTTTCTTGAAGAACTCTGGCTGGATGGTGGTGTGTGTGATCCCGCTTTCTTTGAAAAACTCTTTAACTTCTTCCATGACGTTACTGTACACCTGTTGTTGAATTTGTCATTACATGAAAAAGCAGATCAATGTTGGGTTCATAGAATTATCAATATATATTTATAGTCAATTCTAGATAACAACTAATTTGGTTTTACCGAAAGAACATTTTTCAGAATATAAATTCATATATCTTCGAACTCCGAAAAAAAATGACACCGTACCACGATTTCTGATCAAAATAACCACATCCGATATTTTGTTACGTTGTTATTATATACTATTTTTCTCGATTTTTATATTACAACAAGATTATCACATATGCTATATGGATATACCTAATCCGATAATCTTCATATTTTCTGTAAATTACTCATTTCATGAAATAAGAGACATAGAGGTATGTATGCCTCACATTAAAGAATTTGTGAGAATTTTTATGATATTCATACTATTCATTCCATACGTGGGATGATTTCTATAGGTACTTATAGCTACTTATAAGGTATCAAACTTATGAGATAAAGGTATTTCATTCATTCAGTTCATTTGTTTGGCTTTTTATCAATTTCCTGAAATACGAACCTTGTAATTTTTTTCACCAAGAAAGCCTATAGACATACTTGAAACCCTTCGTTCTTTATTTCATTGTTTTTCAACGTAATATTGATGAATATGATTTGAAGAGATATATTATGGCCATTGTTTAGGTACTATACAGAATCACTCAATAAACATCACTGGTATACAAGCAAATCAACTAGGGCAATTCTTCAGAGCAGACGTTTGATTTTTACTAACGCTTTCATTAGCTTGGTATGTATGTATGTTTGTATGCCTCACATCAAAAAATTGCGAGAATTTTTATGATATTCATACTATTCATTCAATAAGTGGGATGGTTTTTATATGTACTCATATAGCTACTTATAAGGTATCAAACTGATGAGATAAAGGTATTTCATGCCATTCACAAATTTATTTTTGTTTGGCTTTTTATTAATTTTCTGAAATACATACTTTGATAATTTTTTGACCAAGAAAGCCTTGTATATCTCCAGCTAATTATAAACTAGCATACTTGTTGTAACTTAAGATGATGAAATTACCTCTAACAAGACAACGACCTCATATAATTTCATATAGTAGAATCCCAATGTACTCGACTCAATCTATATTCAAAATATGACATGACAAGACTGACAAACACGAATAATCAATACTGACGCCAGAAGACCTGACATGTCAATAATATATACAAGGTATAACAATCTCCCACACTATTTTAAATTGAATGAAATATTCAACTAATAAAAGTCATTGAACATAGTCGCCCAAATATGTCGGTCGACGACGTGGACGCTGCAGACGATTTGACACAGAATCTGGTTCAGAAGCGACGACATCTGTTGGAGTTACAGGGGGTGTCATCGGTGGTACAATCTCTGGAGGTCGAACTTCCTCATCTGAAAAAACTTCCTCAGCTGGAGTGACTTCTTCATTTTGTTGAATTATATTACGTCGTGAATGAATGACAGTCACGGTCGGATTGCGAGTCGGAGAACATTCCTGCGAGGAGTCCATCGCGGATCGAGTTCGAGCTGGAGAGTATACTTCTTGTGGACTAGCTAAGGTAATTCGACGTGTTACTTCTGATTGACGAAGCTGGTCGATATGACGTTTTAGTGCATAACCATCATCCAATTTCACTCTGTAGTGTAGTTTTCCGAATGTTTCTGAAATAACTCCTGGCTTCCATGCCACTTTCCCACTGGTGAACATCTTGACGAGAACTCTATCTCCCACACTAAATGATCTCAAGCAGGAGCGCAACGGAGAACTAGATGCTTCCTTCGAGTTTGGAGGCTCTAGCGGCTTGAGCAGATCCAATTTCGTGCGGATTTGTCTACCTAGATAGAGCTCAGCAGGTGTCTTATCACAACGTAGAGGAGTAGCGCGATAGCGGAACAAAATATCGCGAATTTTTGAATGCATCGACCCATCTTCTGATTTCATGGCATCCAATTTTCTTTTCAAAAATTGAACGTAACGCTCAGCTTGACCATTCGTTTGAGGATGTCCTGGTGCAATAAGACGACGATTAATTCCATTTGTCTCACAGAATTTGACGAATTCGGAGCTGATAAAAATTGTGGCATTGTCGGAAACAATTACCTCAGGCAAGCCGTGGACACTGAAAATGTCTTTCAGAAATTCAATTGTAGAAGCTGACGTCGGTGCAGTTTTTGATAATCTGATCTCCGGCCATTTTGATTTAGCGTCAATGAGGATGAAAATGTAATAACCATCTTTAGGACCTGCATAATCGACATGAACACGTTGGAAATTCGAGTTCGGTTCCTCCCACGGGTGTAATGGTGCAGCAGGTGGAGAACAAACAGTCAAAGCACAAGCATCACAACTCTTCACAAATGATTCAATGTCTCGATCAATGTTTTTCCAGTAACAATACCTTCGAGACAGACTTTTCATTTTCGACGTCTTGACGTGGGTAGCATGAAGCTCTGACAATACTGAGGCTTGAAGAGTGTCAGGGATTACGACCCGGTTTCCTTTAAATATCACGCCATCTTGCAGCGAGTATTGTTCCTCTTGATTTTCTCCACTCTTCAGTTGTTTAAGTAGTTTTGACAGTTGTCTATCTTGGGTCGTAGCAGCAGCGATGGTTTTCGCTGATATCACGTCGGATGATATCTGATTTATACATTGCTGTTGAATGATGTCGTCCTCGTTCAAAGCAGGTAGACTTGAGTGCAACGGAGCTCGTGAAAAATAATCGACATGTACATTTTCCTCTGCTTTCCTATGTTTGATGACATAATCAAATCCACTTAGAATTGTGGCGTATCGCAGGAGTCGTGAAGCGGAAAGAACTGGCAGTTTAGTGTCCTGGTGAAATATTCGACTTAACGGCTTATTGTCGGTGACAAGAGTGAATTTTCGGGCAAATAAATACATGTAAAATTTATTCACTCCGTATATAATGGCTAAAGCTTCGCGATCCAATTGGCTATAATTCCCTTCTGCCACTGTAAGAGACCTCGAGGCGAATGCTATCGGTCGTTCCTGGTCATTGATGACATGTGACAAGACAGCACCTATTCCAACAGGGCTGGCATCACAGGTGAGTATAACTGGCAAATCTTGGTTGAACGGCATCAAGACACGATCGCTGGCGATTTCTTTTTTCAATCTAAGAAACGCTTCTTGACATGGTTTGGACCAATTGAACTTAGAGTTTTGACGGAGTAGGCACCTCAGAGGAAATGTCAGAGAAGAGAGATTTGGAATGAACTTGGCGTAGTAGGTGGTCATTCCCAAAAATCTTCGTACATCTGCCGTATCACATGGTGGTGGTGCATCTATAATCGCGCGAACTTTCTCAGGACATTTCTTGATTTTATTGTGCTCGATAACGTATCCAAGGTACGTAATTGACGTCTTGAAAAATTTACATTTTTCACGATTGAGGTGTAGGTCATATTGACGTAAGCGATTCAGGCAGCTGATTAGATTTGACGAACACTCTTGTTTACTTGACCCGTAGATAATAACATCGTCGAAGTATGCGGTGGCACCTTTCAATCCGGACAATATCTGATGAAGAATTCGATGGAATTCGGATGGTGCAGGTTTTATTCCGAAACTCAAACGTTTCATGGCGAAAACTCCTCGATGTGTAGACATTGCCTGGACCATTTGACTTTCTTGATCGACTTGAACGTGGAGATAGGCTTTGTACATGTCGAGTGTACAGAATACGCTGGCATCACGAAGGTTATTGACGACCTCATCGATTCGTGGAATAGGAAAATGTGCATCGTGGAGCTGTTTGTTGACGGTAACCTTATAATCGACTGCCAAACGGACTTTACCATTCGCTTTTGGGATTGGAACCAAGGGTGAACCCCAATCCGAATGATTCACTTGATATATAATATCATTTGATATTAATTCATCCAGTTCTTTATCGACTGCATCGCGAAGTGCAAAGGGAACGTCTCTGGCTTTCAAAAATACTGGGCTGGCATTGTTCTTCAATTTTAATGAGCACGTGAAGTTCGGAATACACCCCACTTTTTGTTCGAAAATATCGGCGAACTCCTCCATAATTGACTCAGGGGTTATTTCCACAGAACAAACAGATTTGACGAATGCAGGATTCACCTTCGACATATCTAAACGTTTGAGATCCACATTCAATCGACGTATCCATACTCTTCCTAATAGCGGGCTAAGCTGATCAGGTACCACGAACAATAATTCGTTAGACATATAGCCCTGATATTCGACTGGAACAATAGCATATCCAAGTGGTTTGAAAATACCATGGGTGTACGAGCGAAACCGTACATCAGTCTGTTTGATATCACCTTTGAAATTAATCTTCTCGAAATCACGGAGCGGAAGTAAGGTGAACGCTGATCCTGAATCAACTTCAAATTTTTGATCATGTTCTGAGTTCAAACGTACTGACATGAAGAATTTTTCAGCATCGCTAGAAGAAAGTTCCATGCTGGCAGAAAAAATGTCATAAATTTTATTCACACCAACAATGTCATCCAAAAAGTTCGGATCAGCCATATCTTCAGGATCCAATTCTACATTTTTCACTCGAGAATCGATTTGTTTATCCATGAGGTATGACAAACAAACAGATTTGACATGTCCTGTTCTTGAACAGGCACTGCAACGCAATTTTTCGCGTGGCACCCTACAATTATTCGACCTGTGATCTGTTTTGGCACATCGGAGACAGTTCTGTTCAATTCCAAGGGCTTTGAAATTTATTCGTGAATTTTTACGAGTCTGCGATGAAGATTGACTACTTTCACGAAAATTTTGAGCACGGGACATTGATTGTCTGTTTTCAGAGCGCAAGCGCGCACGTGTAACTTGATTGACGGCTGTATTGTCGGGTATATTTGACGAAAATTGATCGGAAATTTCTTGACAATCAATCCTCGACGCTTCGTATGCTAACGCAGATTGGACTACTCTTTCATATGTTGCATCAGATATTTGTAAAAGTTTTTCACGGATTCCATTGTCCTTCAGCCCACGGATGAACTGAGCTCGCAGGAACAGATTCGCGACATTTCGTTCACATTGACACTCGAATTTACAGGTAGATGCTAGTTGACGTAGCTCTGCTGAATATTGACTGATCGTCTCCCCTTCTTTTTGGTGTCTCGACAAGAAGCGATGTTGTTGTACAATTATATTGGGGACTGGACACAAATGATCTTCTAAAAGTTTGACAAGGGCGTCGTAGGTCATGGTAGAAGGATCTGCCGGTGCAATTAGTGAACACAACACGGTATGTTGCTGAGGACCTATGTGAAGCAACAATTCCCTTACCCATAGTTCTTTATTGTCCTTGATTCCCTTCAAATCAAACCAATTTTCGAGACGCTTACGATATTGACGAAACGTTTCTTTGCTGCCGTCGAAATATTCGAAATTCGATACCACATTGACGCTGGTTTGAATTGGCTGATTCGACTTCATAGCCTGGATTATTTCTCCGTTTTGACGTAAAACTTCGGCCATTGTGGATAAAATTGACTTCAAATCCTCAGATTGCATCATTCAACGTGCTTCGAAGTATTCTCTGTCGACGATTGATGATGAGATTAAGAGTAATGTGTACTCACGGCCTTGACTAGACTCGGTGGTCTTGTTGACGGACTATCTGAAGTTTTATCCTCGTCGCCACTTTGTTGTAACTTAAGATGATGAAATTACCTCTAACAAGACAACGACCTCATATAATTTCATATAGTAGAATCCCAATGTACTCGACTCAATCTATATTCAAAATATGACATGACAAGACTGACAAACACGAATAATCAATACTGACGCCAGAAGACCTGACATGTCAATAATATATACAAGGTATAACAATACTTGAGACCCTTCGTTCTTTATTTCATTGTTTTTCATCGGAATGTTGATGAATATGATTATGAAGAGATATGTTATGGTCATTGATTAGGTACTATACAGAACCACTCAATAAACATTACTGGAAACATTGGTATACATGCAAATGAACTAGGGCAATTCTTCAGAGCTGACGCTTAGTTTTTACTACGCTTTCATTAGCTTGGTATGTATGCATGTTTATATGTTTGTAACGTCGAATTGTCGTACACTTAGCCAAGGAACGATGACAATAATTTGATAGGTTTGTTCCATTATCCTGATCAGGATCTTCTGCAATAAAATGGCGATAATGTTCCTCCACCAAAATTTCAATTGTTCCGTCTCCAAAATTTCAAATGTACGTTTTCATTCGAATACATTATTTTTACAATGCTTTTTATGTCCAGAGACACTACAGTGTTTAGGTCCATTTTCCTTATCAGGATCTTCAGCATGAGCGAATATTACATCCAGGAAGACGATAGTGTCTTGCACCAAGTACCCGAATGAAATAAAGAGAGAAACTGATCAACGGTTACAACATCCAAGGAAGGCAACAGGCGGGCAAATCACCCACTTCCGCTGTGGGGCGGTACAGTTACAAAAAAACAAGCTCTATGTAGTTAGCCCAATTAAAAAATGAGGTATAAATAGTACTTTAACAAAACTGAGACAACCCGTTTCTAAAGATAGCTAAACAAAAACAAAATAGCAAATAAAATAATGAAAGTGTGTTGATATACATGGTGTTTCATTATATATGCGCAGGACTTCATGATGTAATAGCTCGTCCAAAGATATGATAAAAAGTTTCTATTATGTCACCCTCCGATATGCACCATTTTCTAGATATAGGGTGTTGAAATTTATTTTTAAAAAAATCAGTTCTTGCGGATATCTCTGGATCCGTCTATCGCAGAGAGAACAGCTTTCGTAAGCATTCTCTTCTCATGATTTGCTATGTTTTGTGAGGAAGTTCTTTTTTTTTTCTTTTTCAAGTCATAATTGGTGAAGATTTTGAAGGGGCAGTAGGTGTTTTTCTTCCCAAATTCTAGGCCAATGGAAAAAGTACAGTTTTGAAACGCCTATTTGGACTGCCAATGTTTTCTACAAAAAAGGAATTATTGGTCATCAGCTCTAAAGTTGACTGTTATCGAGAAAAATCAACTTTCATGTTGAAAAACATGGTCAATTTTTTGGAATGATTTTTTTCATAAAAATTCAAAAAAAAATATTTAAACGTTAAAACAAGTAACGAAACCAAATGTGAACCTCATAAGTGCAAAATTAAAGAAACAAAACATTAACGAATCATATAGGTACTCAGTTAAATTAATTTTTGGAAATGTCCGCCGTTAGCTTCAAAAAATTGATCATGTTTTTCAACATAACAGATGATTTTTCTCGATAACAGTCAACTTAAGAGCTGATGACCAAGAGTTCCTTTTTTTTGTAGACATTGACCGTCCAAATAGGCATCTCAAAATAACTCTACCTTTTCCAGTGGCGTAGAATTTGGGGGGGAAGGGAAACGCCCACTACTCCTTCAAAATCTTTATCAATTATGACTCAAAAGAAAAAAAATAAGTTACTCACAAAACATAGCTAATCATGAGTAGAGATTGCTTACGACAGCTGTTTTCTGTGCGATAGACGGTTCCAGAGATATTAGCAGAATACGAATTTTTTAAATGAATTTCAACACCCTGTATATCGAAAATAGTGCATATTAGAAGGTGGGTTAATGGATTTTTTTCATATATTTGTACGAGCTATCACATCCTGAAGGCCTGCGCTTATATTATGAAACACCCTGTATATTCACAACATTTAGAACATATTAGCACTTCCGTTATCAGTATTTTTTGTATTGGCTATTCATCAACACACTTTCATAATTTTATTTTCTACTATTTTCAGTTTGGCTATCGATGAAAGTGATTTTTTTTTATTTTTTTAAACTACTTATTGCTCTCAAAAGAAAAGTCATTTTAAAGCATGTGCCTTGTAGAAACAATTTCTTTTTTTATTGCATAATGATCAATGTATATATGAATTAGTTGCGTGAATATTCATTCTTGAGACATAAAGTGAAATTGATAAAGACCTCAATGGTATACCCACATTACCCACCTTTGGATTTTGGAAAATGATGTGTACCGTCGAAACTATTTTGTTAGCAGACAGCTGCCAAATGTGGAAATCATGAATATTTACAATATCTGGAAACTGGTTCAACAATTCTGCTTTCAAAATGTTGATGTCAATCGTATCAGGAATGGTTTGAAGTAGAATGAGTCCGCTCTCTCTCACTGAAATAACAAAATGATTCAGGATGATTCACAGGTGATAGCTCTCCCAGACAGCACCAGATATTCCATGAATCTCCCTATCATATTCCTTTTGGAATATTGGAATATTCTAGAAATAACCTGGAATATTCCGGAATATCTGTGGAATATTCTCTAAATATGCGAATGGGAATTCCTCAGATATTCATAGAATATATCCCGATATATCCAGTAGGATATTCCATGTTGAATATTCCTGGAATATTCCAATAAACATATTCTAAAATAAAAAAAGTGACCCAAGTAGGGATCGAACTCGTGACCTCAAGACTATCAGACCAACGTCTTGACCACTAGGCCAGTAATAGAATCGAAAAATGTTGTACATATCAATTCCTTGTGAGAGCGTAGTTCGAAATCAGATCATAAACACTTTTTGTTTCAAAATCCCCTTACATCTAATTTTGATGTTCGATACTCACAACTCTGAATTAATGATGGGTATTTATGTGTTGAGAAACATAGGAATATTCATGGAATATTTCATGAATATACACCACAAAATATTCAGTTGAGAATATTTCATGAATATACCGCACAGAATATTCAGTTGAGAATATTTCATGAATATACCCCACAGAACATTCAGTTGGGAATATTTCATGAATATACAAGAGAATATTCATTTGGGAATATTCCTGGAAAATTCATACCTGAATATTCCCTGAACATATCCGACTATTCACTTTGGAATATTCCTTCTAGATGTTCCAGAGGCATGTATATATTCTAGGAATAATCGATGAATATTCGGAATATACTCCTCCTTTTTAGCATATTAAGAGAATATTCTAGGAATATCCAGTGCTGTCTGGGTCTCGTGATTTCATAATCACTGAGATGGGACATACGGACTTCAAGTGTTCAGTTCTCGAGATACAGGGTGTTGATGTTGAGAAATAAAAATAGTTTTATGGAAACAACTCAAGAACGATTGAATATGTTGCAATCAAAATCGATATACTGTTCCATCTTCGGATGGGTCATTCTTCGACCAGAAGCATTTCGGACATTTAATCCAGTGGGCTGTGGTTACATTTCGTTCCATATTTTTTACGACACTGATGACATTTTGACTAATATAATTTCCCGAATTCATTGTTCAATTTTATCGGAAAATTGCGTTACCTTCAACAGAGCTGAAATGAGGAATTTCTGAGATATTTATGACCCAAAATAGAAGTTTGCAAAGTAATTTTTCATCACTTTCAGTAGTAGAAAATTACAAAAATAGTTCCCTGGTGGTGAGTAGATTAGAAACTTTTCAGATCTTATTCTGTAGCTAGAGAGAAGTTGTTGCCAATGCCGAAAGAAAAATCAACCATTTCTGTAATTTTCTGCTACTGAAAATGATGAAAAATCAATATGCAAACTTCTATTTCGGATCAAATATCTAGTAAACTATTCATTTCAGCTCAGTTGAAGGTAATGCATTTTCTGAACAAAATTGAACAAATAATTCGAGATCTTGAAAATAATCGAAAATTCATCAGTGGCGTAGAAAATATGAGATGAAAAGTAACCACAACCCACTTTAGTGCACCACTGGATAAAATGTCCAGAATGATTTCCTGGTCAGGAAATGACCCATTTGGAGATGGAACCATATACCAGAGAGCGCAAAATATTCAATTATTCTTGAGTAATTGCGAAAAAACTATTTTTATTTCTCAACTTCAACATCCTGTATCTCAAGAACTGAACCCTTGAAGACGTTATATCCTTATCTCAGTAATACTGAAATCACGAGGGCTATCACATGTCAAGCGTTGTCGGTCGAATTACGAAACACCCTGTATAAGTATCTTCGTGGAACCCAATGAATAGAAAGAGATATACCTAGATATTTCAGCTCATGAAGTGTTCTAGTCAGTGGCGTGTCGTGCGTGGAAGCTCAAATGTAAAATTGGAATAGAAACAACTTTTCTGAGTGAACTTTCTTAAAATTCAAACAAACAATAAGCCTGTTTTCAGAGATTAATTCAAAAATATGGAACTTTTGACATGTAGCGAAAGTATCACGTGACTCCGACCGAGTAGCCCATTTTGTAAAGTAAAACTCAACGCATAATTCGAATTTCGAAGTGAATTATTATTAGAACTTTTTCCCATATGATGCCGACGTTATGAATGACACTGATCACTGAAACGCATGAATCTGCAGTTGCTTCATCTGATTTTTGATGGTTTGCCCACTAATTTCTCTCTTGTCGTTATTGTTCTGATTCTATCTATTCAGATTTCGATTCAGCACTCCCAAAAACATATAGAACCGCAGAGAAATCTTTTTGCCATGAGAGGATCTTCATCGTTACCGTTTTACTGATATAGAGCTACATATCTTCAATAATAATTATTGAATTCTTGTTTCATTATAATATCTTTGGAATCAGTTCACGATAAAAAAGGAGGTGGAAGCTATGGGATATTAGTTGATCAGTTTTGTTGTTCAAGATAATAAAATTGATAAAATTATACGAAGGAAGGAAGGAATGCTCGAAGTCATCTCTTTTATAAGACCGAAACATGTCCCTTATGATTGTGTAACAACACCATTGAAATTTGTGGAAATGACTTCGAGCATTCCTTCCTTCCTTTGAAAAATGTCACTTATTCACTTTGGGCAATATGGACTTCTAACAAAAATTAATGAGATTTTAATTCTTTTAATTTCAATTCCAGCCACACGTCCTCAAGAAAGGAAAAATGTTTGCCTACGGCGCAGTTTTCATCATTTTCATCCCAGACAGCACCAGATATTCTATGAATATCCATGGAATATTATTCCTGGATATTGGGAATATTCATGAACATGCCAGGGATATGCATATCTTCTACGAAATATTCCCTGAATGTGCTGGTGGGAAAGAAAGTATATATTCCTAGAATATTCACAAGGAATTTTCCCTATCTATTCTAGAAATACTCAGATAATATTCGGAATATTCCAGGGATAGTACAAGGAATTCTAATAAATGGATATTCCTGGATTTCTACCACATTGTTATCATAATATATGTTTGATACTCGGATCTGTAACATATATAATATAGTGAGTTTATACTATATTTCATTGAAACTCATGAAATTAATAATTATAGAATATTCTATGAATATACGAATCAGAATATTCAGTTGAGAATATTCCTGCCGCGATATTCATACCTCTGAATATTCCCTGAACAATCCAACTGGAATATTCTTGGAATATTCATATTTGAATATTCCTTCTGGAATATTCCGTGTATACTATTTTGGAATATTACTAGAATATTCAAATTTGAATATTCGTATTTATATTCCAGAGGCACATATTTCTTGGAATATTCGGAATATACTCTTCTCTTTCAGCATATTTAGAGAATATTCTAGGAATATCCATTGCTGTCTGGGCAGTTCCAGTTTCATTTACATACGAAAGTCACGACACGCCACGGATTCTTCTCACTCGAATCTGTCAACTAGATCTTTAGGTTCCACCAGATTGAAAAGCTGTGATCTATATTTGGTAAGGATAGGTACAGGGTGATTCAAACTCCCCGTCCTTGGCTCATAACAAAAGAAGAAAAACTGCAGATGTAAAATAGAAGCGGTAATTCGAATATCTGTCACAAAAAAAATAGTGTATTATACACAAGAAAATATTTGATTTTAGCTCTCGGTTTTTTGTCCTAAAATCTAATACTCACTTTATTTCCTTGTATAATGAATAATTATTTCTGCCGTCATTTCCGCCATGTTGAGAAGGTTTGAAAAATGTTTGAATACGAAAAAATATACCTTACGCACAGCCCCTCTGCCAAATTTGAATTTGAAGTTTTTCTCTTCCTGTTTGAAGCCAAGGGAGGGAGATTTGAATTACACTTTACATAGGGACTCACTATAGGGATAACTCAAAACCATGATTGAAGCTGCAGATATCAGCGATATGATGGGGTCAATATATTTGGCAACATTTTTGTCCGTGAAGAATATCAATAGAGCACAAATTATCACCAGGATGCAACCTGCAATGAAAAATCATAAGATATATTTCATGTTTTATCTAGATGCCGAAACAGTGTGTCCGCATAAGTATGATGGAAATCGATGCCAAATGTGAAAACTCCACAAACGATAAGATTTCCACAAAATTCTGAAACACACAATATATTTCGCTAACACAGTAGCTTCGGCAGGTGATATATACTGGTACAATGAACTAAACCAACGTTGGCTTGCTTAACTTTTATATATCCTAATACTTTCTCAACTTGAATGATTAGTTACCTGTGGATAGGTTCGATAAATCTTCATTTTCGGAAAGTAGGCACAATATCTACATTGAAATACGGTGGACCGGATTACCTTGAAAGGGTTGATAGCAAATACTACTGAGAAAACAAATTCAACAGTGGTGAACTGTTGAGGTCTAATAGATCGTTGAGTGAAATGTCAAAATTTTTGAGTTTGTTGATTTCTAATGATTCAAAATGATTGAGTTTCATTCCTTCATTTTCTACATGTAGATTTTCGAAATTATCATCAAAACTATGATTTTCCTTCAATATATGGTTGGCATTTGTTGAATTTGTTTTCGTTTTCAAAAAATTCACCTTATGTTTATGATTGCGCTGATTGAACGCACTTGTCTGACCGATATATATCTCAGGACAAGATCCACAGTTGAAGTTCGTATACTCCTGATTTTTCTAATTTAGAAGTTTTGCCTTTATTATTTCTGATAAACCTCCCCAACGTGTTATTTGTTCTATATGCTACTTTTAAGTACTGTTTATGTAGAAATGAAGCTAATTTCCAGTTGATGATCCGAAATAGGTTAAAGTTCTATAATTCTGATTATCATTCTTGATGGTAGGATGAACTCCTTGAATAGCTTCATCATGAAGTTTTTTAGAAAGGATACTGTCTATCAAATTAACGTTGTTTCCGTTGTGGACTGCAATCTGTTTTATGATATTGAGTTCTTTATTGAAATTTACTTCCGAAAGAGGGACATTCACTAGCCTGTGTATCATACTATTATATGCTGCAATTTTATGTTGATAAGGGTGTGTTGAATTATTATTTATAGTGATATCAGTGTGGGAAGGTTTATGGAAAATTGAAAAATCATGTTTATCATTAATTTGAAAAATCATGTTTATCATTAATTTTACTTATTGTCAAATCTAAGAAATAAATTGACTTCTCTGTTTTTACTTCCATTGTGAATTTAATGTTCGGGTGAATAGTATTGATATATTGGTGCAAACTGTCTAATGGGCGTGTACACCTTACTAGAACTTTTAACTCAAACCATGTTTATAATGATCCTTTTATACATAAATAATGATTGACGACATAATTCGATCGAAAAATTAACTGGAATGTTTTATTTTTAGACATAAATGATAGTACCTTCTGAAAACGGACCCTCTCATGACGTAGGAACCACATCTCGCCATAGTTGAAAGAAAATACCAAACGCCCGACGGAGACTGAGGCAACTGATATATTAAATCTTTCAACTGTGATCTCGCGCTAATTCAATCTGTCAGAAATCATGTATCATTCATCTTTTTCATCTTTGTCTGGAATAGTCTTGTTTCAGTATTAGGGTTCTGACGTCACATCATCGCCTTGTTTTCAGAGGTCCGAAAAATCGGGGATTTCAATAATTTTTTACACACGGTTTGCGGTCTTGAGCTAGTTTGAGTGAGTTCTATCGAATTATGAAATAAAAATTTTTTGTGATATAAGCCCATTGTCTATTGGTTCCTTTGAAGCATACAATCACGTCATCTATGTATCTATACCAATACAATAGTTATTTTTTCTACAAACGTCAAAAAATGACAAGGTTCGCGCATTGGTAACAAATTGCGAAGTGACACTTTTTTTCAGTTTCCTACGTTACCATGATTCCTTGCACAAAACAATGCGCGAAGTAAAACAGTGCGCGAAGTACCTACTTCGCGCACTGTTTTACTTCGCGCATTGTTTTGTGCAAGATATCATGGTAACGTAGGAAACTGAAAAAATGTGTCACTTCGCAATTTGTTATCAACGCGCGAACCTTGTCATTTTTTGACGTTTGTAGAAAAACAATGTTTTATCAATGCATGTTTATGTATTATTCGCTCTAAGTTATCCATGAAAATTTCAGCAAGTAAAGGGCTCAGTGGATTTCCCATAATCAACCCTTTTGACGCGGAATATATTTTGTTGTCAAATTGAAAGTAATTATGTTTGAGACATATCGACAGAGGGTCTAAAATCTTTTGTTCGGTAATCGGACTAACATAGTTTTTATCTAATAACTCCTCAACTAAGATTATAGTATCTTCGGGATGTATACTTGGGAATAGGTTTTGAACATCAAATAAGATGAATCTTGTGTTGTCAGTTAGAGTGTTATGTCAAGAATCAGGTAGAGTGTTATCAAGAATTTCGTGGAAATATTATCGTTCGTGGAGTTTTTTACAATTACTATTAATTTCCATCGAGTAACGGCGAGTCAATAGAAATTTTGGGAATACCATGAACATCTCTCGTCATCTCCCAAATCCCTTGTCGTTGCTTTGGTGGCAAAGCAGTCGGATGTATCGTCTTGCTTCTTGATAACCTTCTAGCCCCACGTTGCACTGTCTGATCCACCACCACTTTGCTCAGAACTACATCTCCGCTTTCGGTGACGTACAAAAAACTGCCCTGGTGAAAAGTGTATCCGCCAATCAGGAGATAGCATATACCATTCAGTAGCAAACCAGCTGCACCTAAAATAATCCAGGGATATTGATGAGTAATAGTATATTACACACCTAGGTGGGAAGAGATTCATTCCTGTCGTGGGATTGGTTAGTTAATCGAGACGCAGAGCGTCATGTTCTCTTTTCGGATGTTCAATGTTCAAGGGAAAGTAGTTGTTTTCTGTTGAATATTCGTCGGGGCCTATGGCCAGGAAAGTAGTTCTTTTCTGTTGAATAAACCGAGAAAGAATTGATATTTTCATCACATAGAGAATGCGAATTCCCAATGTATTCCTTTATATATACCCAGATAGCACAATGTCATTCATAGAACGTTCATAGAATATTCTTCGAGAATATTTGAACATTCTCAGAATATTCTCATAATATGATACAAATATTCTAGGAATGTTTTATGAACATTCGGAATGGACTGTTTCAAATATTCTGAGAATTGTCTTAGTATATATTGAAGGAGAATGACGAAAATCAGAAAAGCTTGCTCCATCGGAGATGCGAACCTACTATCCTATCTTAGGATTAAACTTTTACGAACCTGAAAGCTTAACCACTTCGCCAAGAACCTTATTAATATATAAAATGAATAGCAAGATGACAACACTGAATTAGAGGTATCAGCATTGAGGCTAGAGAATAATAGGATAAACAGGGTAAACATTATGAATATTGATACAAGTAAAGGAACATCAATATCATTTATTTTGATATGATTCCGAATATTCTCAGAATATTCAAAAAGAATAATCTCAGAATATATTCCGAGAATATGTCAAATTGAATGTTCATAGAATATTTGCTGCAGAATGAGAATATTTTATGATAGTTTTGAGAACATTCTCTAGGAATATCCTGAAATAAGTATATTTGAACGTTGTCAGAATATTCAAAGAATATTCTGTGCTGTCTGGGTATTTTCCTTTTCAATAGAACAGGTTAAATTTTCAGATGGCTAGCAAACGCAGTTTCATGGTGTATTTGAATATTCGAAACACAAAAAAATTATAAACATTTACCATTAGGATTTCCATAAATTGACTTATCAGTTCTGCCAACAAGTTATGAGCCTATTTTCATTGAACCGTGAAGAAATAATTTTATACAATATGAAGTAGGGCATCCTTAATATTCATGAGTGCTTTCGAAGATAATTTCTAGGATAGAAAGATATAGATAGAGATTGCTAGGTACCTATATATAATGCGTTTTTATTTTTTTCGTTTTTTTATTTACTGTGATAGAGATGGTGTAGTTCTTTTATTATATATTATTTCATATTTAGTTTGTTTTGCGTGTTGAAATATTGACATATTATGAGTAATAAGATTATGGGTGGTACCACCCAGAGGCGGATTATCCATAAGGGAAACTAGGCACTTTTTTGAATGAATAATTGTTTTCATAGAATCATCCATTATTAATATAGGTATTATTGAATCACACGTAAATAGTTATTTGAAAAATTGTTTACAATATTCACAACAATCCCTCTTATTTACTTCACCCTCAACACATACAGTGTGACACATACTCAAGATGAAGACACCCCTGTATTTCAGTCATTTTTGAAAGCAGAGATTCAATTTTTGGTACAGGCGTAGACCTCCAAGTTGATTCGAATCAAGTAGTCTGACGGTTTGTTTACTTCATACTCGCGCCATTTGCTTCACACTATGTTTATTTGATACAAAAGAGAAGCATCCTAACAAAAATTTTTATCTGGGGGTTCAAAAAACCAAAATTCAAAAATGTTTTTTAAAATTATTTGGGGCCCAAAACCCTTACGAACCATGTTATCAATTTTATAATTTCCTTTCTCCTCCTACCTAGCAAGCCTGATGATGACTCCTAGGAGTCGAAACATGTAGCACATATTATTTTATTAAAATTTAAGTAAGTTCAATGTTCATGAAATCGTTCATTATGACCCCTATTAATGATCAATTTGTCTATTAATGCACGATTGTTTTATAGGCAACCAAACATACACCGCGTGCATTCATTGTTTATGCTATATAACTTACGGAATCTGCATTTAAATCGAACATATGGATTTCATCGAAGTTTTTCCGTTAACGGGTTCGCCTTTTCAAGTTTTTGACACGATTTTAATCCCTGTTTTCTAACACAAGGAATTCATTTTCTATGTTGATCATTTCGTCAAATGTCACTAATGTCAGTAACAAGGCTACTGGGTGATTCTTAGCAGTTTCCGGATGAATGATGAATTCGCGAACCAAGTTTTCTTCACTGCAGGAGAAATGAGAAATATAGTCGACGGAAAAATTTTGTAACCAACTTGTAAATTATAAGGCGATTAATACACTAGTTGGTTAAATAATTATTGAACAGAGCGTGCCAAAATATCATGCAATTAATAAGTCTATGTGATTGACTGAGGATTGATAATGATATAGATAATTATAATAACAAATAGTTGTCAAAATATTTTTCAGTAGATTATGAAATGTTCCAGTAGTTCAGTGTAGATCAATATGCAAATCAAGAGATCTACTGAAAATTCAGTCCTGCAGCGAACGAAAAGTGTTTGCGAACAAAAAGTTGGTGTCTGCGAATGAAAAGTACTTGCCTTCGGAAATAATCGGTTTTTCGTTCGGATATTGAAACGTAAAATGTGATTTTTTGTAGAGGTCGACGAAACAATATATTCGCATCATTTTTTAGTATAACCTGATGGTTTATTTTTTTATGGGTCTTATATCAACCACTTTGGGTACCAGGTGACACAGACTCATGGTATACCCCCTTTTCCTCCTTCGTTTTTCAAGATATATTTCTGGACTTTGAAACATCGAAGGCTTACTAGAGGGTTCTTTCTCACATTTTAGGATTTTTTCTTCCTCCGGTTTCTCTGGAAATGACATCAACTTTCGATTTTCAACGGGATACCCTGCATTTTATCCCATAATCAGTTAGGAATTATTATAACGAATTCAACGATACCAGGTTTGATAGAGTTATTTCAAACGTTTTCGAAGATATTTGCGTTCCTATTGTTTCCATACGCTCAATGGGCGCAAATAATCTCTAACCGATTATGGAATGAAATATAGGGTGTTCCACATAAAATTCGAAGGTTTATATCATTTCCAGGAAAACCGGAAGATGAAAAAACAATCCAAAATGTGACCATACCTACTCGATGTTCCCAATTTCAGAAATATAGCTAGAAGAACAAGGAAGAGAATGGGGCGGCAAAGTTATTATAGCCGAAATATATGTATACATATAATGTTAACTTATGCAGACATGCGTTATGCCATTTTCTATATCATGGTAGTTTTCATCATATATATTTTGTTATCATCACCAGGAAATAATTTTGAGCTTTGTGTTCTATGAATAAAGCTTGAAATTATGAATTAGTGGATTTTTTTGTTGCCCTGAATGAACCTTGATGATGGCCAATGACCATGGGCTTTTCTTGTGACATTGAAATTTTTTAATTATGAAAGGTAAACATCGTAACAAGAATTATTGGGAATTAAAAAAAATGGCTACTTATTATAGGATCAAAATGTCAAATTTCGTCATCAATAAAATAAAGCGAACAACAGTGAAAAATATGGGTGAACGATGCATGATTGTGTATAGTAGTTTCAGTTAATATGTAGATAATATGCATTGTCAGAATATATTTATAAATTGAGTGAACCAGCTGCAAACATGCACATGCAATCATGCATGGAAAATTGAAAATATCAGACGCCTATGCATGCATGTCCCATGGGACATCCCTTTCGATCTTTGATATTTCATTCGCGTTCATGTACCGCAGGACATACATATAATTGGGACGTACCTAGGACATCCCTATATTGTATGGGTATTGGCATTTTCCAATGGTAAATCCAAAAAATGAAACGCTAGCCGACTTTTAACGCCTTCCTTATTGTGAATAAGCACTACTTTAATTCATATAGTTAGCATATTCTTGACTCTTGATGGGTTTTCAATGCTTTCCTAATGATAATTGGTTGGTTTCATCTCACACAAAGAATTTGAGGATATGTTTCGTAATTATCGCTGAAAGACTGCAGAACATATAACTGAAATCTAATCAGAGCTCTCCAGCTCTCTTACTCAGTTATCCGCATCATCTGATTATTTGGACAATCTGCCAGAAGTATACTTCTCCATTACCTACCAAGAAATAGTCAGGGCCAGCTGTATATGTCATCGATTGAATATTAAATAGCACTGTCTATTATTTGTGTTCGATGTGTATTTCTTACCCACCTGTACATAAAACTGTAATGGGACGATGCATCTCGTCCTGATGACCAATATGAATTAGCGTTTGCAGGGCTTCCACGAAAATCGAGAAACTTAGGGACGCCATGAAAACGCAACAGATCAACATAATAATGACGTCGATTCTCGCCCAACCAAACGTATTTTTCAATTTTCTTTCTTCATTCCTTCCGACCTTCGGGGAGTTCTTTTTGTCTTGGCATTGATTCGACCGACTTTTAGATACTTTTTCGTCCAGATTACTTTCGATGCTCTGAGTATTTTTCAAGTCGCAATCTGCAGATTCTTCACTATACTGAAACAAAAGGAAATTGTTAGATCTACTTGTCGTTGACGTCAGAATTACTGCAGTGAGAAACTTTTTGTGGCAAAAGGGGTCTCTTCCCCCAAGTCAATTTTGATCCACATATATTTTTAAATTGTTACTATACGTCCAGCTTTATAAGGGTTTGAAATATTTGTATTTGCTCATATTGCCAGTCAGGCAACGATTACTTTTGTGTAACGATTGTGGGAAGATGCTATGGTGAGTTCTTACAACATTACACAAAATTGTAATAAGGTATATTTATATATTTTATTTATTTTACGCAACGTTTTTGAAAAACAATATTTCTTCCCAGGACTTGCAAGTTCCGGTGTCATCAAGCCTCGACATGAAAATTGATCCAACATTGAGTAAGTCTATTTTATATTCAGGAGTGTAGTTACTTCACTACCTACTTGAAATTGGTACAACCGTCTGACTCACGGTGATTGAAACGATTTTCATGTCATCAGAAATTCTATTGGTTGGATCAATTCATATTTTGTGGCTCAAAAACATTTCCTGGTACGCCAATGATATGATTCAGAACATCTAGGCTACTGATGAGTGTATTGAACAACTGAAACACGTGTTATTCTTGTTGAGAGATTATTCCATTCTCATTAGATAAAATTCGATGCTGGCAAAGTGCTTAGTAAACAATTATGGTCAAATAAATTCTACGAGATTCTCATACTTATCGGACCACAAAATGAACTCCTTATCTGTTATCGACATACATAATAAATAATAAATCATAGTTTATTTGTCTGAGTCTAGATAGGAAACAGATATGAACTATTTTTATTTCCAAAAATATGGCAACGATTATATTCGCGGTGTACTCAAGGTCATCATATGACGTTGCGATGACATGAAAATTACGGGAAACCATTCCTAACTCCTGGCTTAGATTGAAAATTAGACATTTTTCCCCGTAGTTTCCATATCACCGCTACGTCAGATGATGGTCTTTACTACCGCGAATGTCATTCATACCTTAGCCCTTAGCTATAATCAAAATATCATCATACAATGGGAATAAAGTAGGTAGTTATATACATTATTTTCGCAAGTATATATTGAGAGGTATAATAAGTACCTACAACTCCATCCACTAGTGAAATTATTAATAGACATTTCGTTCTTAATTTTATCACACAGAAAGAAATAGAGAGGAAATGTTTACTATCATATGGTTATAATGCCAATCGGTATTGAAAATTATACACTTTATTCTGTTAAATTTTTCACGTTTTGTTAACATAAAGTATGTGATTGCAGTTTACACGAACTCATGTTGTGAAATGAACCGTCAAACAATGCCATCATTATCAAAAAGAATATCAGAGGTATGTGAAATATTTCTATTCCATGTATGTCTCTCAATTACGTGTAATTATACGTAACTATATAATACCTACGTTTGTTGTGTACATTTCATTGACGAAATCTCAGTCGGATCACGTATGTACATATCTCGGTACATATCTATTGATCCAATGTAATTGAAAGGGCAATAAAACTAATTATGTAAACATATCATCAACACCAATATCCTTCACGTAACAATAATAAAAATATTAGTGATGAGTTCATCCGTTCTATGGTTAAACTCATTTCAAGAGACCAGGAGTTGTGGATTCTTCATGTTACTAGGCCATCGCCGAAAAATAGTCTTCGAAAAGATATCAAGTGTTTGGATCTCCTCTCCATTTCCGGATGAGAGGTGCTAGAGAGGGTTCAACATCAACGATGACCATCGACACCTTCAGACTAAAAAGCCAAACATATTGGCATAGACTGAGACACACTGGTCAATTCATCCACCAATATGAACTATTTGCTCTGTCCTGAATACGAACTCCACACACGCTTCAGGTTTAAGAGAGGTCTCTGCCTCTATTTTAAAAAGAATCTCTCATGTCATCGAAAAAAAACTTTGGAACCCAATGAGATTGATGTTATGTGGTTCAAACTCGATCGATAGCCAGAAACAGACCAAATATCTTGAGTTGTCTCTACTTATCACCAAATGATCCGTCCTATGAAGAGCTAATTCAGCAGAACCATCCAAAAGCAGAAATCATCATCATGGGTGATTTCAATGTACACAATACTGTTTGGCTCTTACACTCCAACAGAACGGGTGAAAATGGGCGACAAGCCGAAGCTTTTACCATCACTCACGGCTTAGAGCAGCTTATCAAGAAACCTACACGAATTCCTGATGTCAACAATTATTCAGTCAACATACTCGACATATTCCTCACTTATAATTCATCATCTTACACCATTTAATGCCATTGATGCACGAATTCCACTTGGCAGACACATTCTGCTCGGTCTCAAAACGAATAAATCAAATGTTTCCGATGCAATTCCACCAATTATTCTCAGAAAGTGTGCACCAGAATTGACACCGATTCTCTGTAAGCTAATTAACATCCCGTACAAGTCGGGTAATTTTCCATCTTACTGGAAAATAGCTAGACTCCAACAAATAAAAAGAAAGTAAACAAAAGCCTGTCCAACAACTATAGGCCAATTGCTCTGCTATCAGTCAACCCTAAAGTTATGGAGAAAGACATCAACATTGAGCTCATCAAATATCTGGAAGGCTCAGGAGTTATCAATGAGATCGAATACCAAAGATCAACTGGAGATTTACTCGCCTACATCACCCAATCTCTAGCTGTGGCGGCTAAGGCATTCGACCGTGTTTGGCACCAAGGACTACTTTAGAAAAAACCATAATACGTATTACCACATCAAATATGCCATCTTTGATCGAGTTTTCTGCCAGGAATATCGCTCCATACGATGGTGAACGCAGTATCAATTCTGGCGTTCCACAAGGATCAATTTTGGCAACAACATTGTTCCTACTTCATATCAACGATCTATTGGTAGCAGCCACTTGCCCTATCTTCAGCTTTGCAGACGATAGAACTCTCCATACTGCACATTCACTTCTAGAACTCCTATTTGATTCCCTGGAAACTAAGAACTCACGACGAAGGCATGCCAACGCTGTCAATAAAGATCTTGCGAAAATCACAGCCTGGGGTACCAACAACCTAGTTCAATTCAATGCCACCAAAACTGAAGCCTGTATTATCTTTAGGAAGGCAGAAATCAGTATGCCTGATAAAACAATGTTTGGGGCCATCATTCCCACCAAGACCACCATATCTATTCTCGGTATTAGTAGTAGTAGTAGTAGTAGTAGTATTGTGGGGAGGCTGTAGCCAGGCAAGTAGGCCACCATGGGCCCTTTTTGCCAACCCCTGCTCTCCACATATCTACACATCCCTCTTTTAGTTGTCCTTTTCGAACCTTCCCGTCCTTCTGATGAATGTCAGGATGTCCGTCCACTCTAATTCGACCAAATCTTCCTGTTGTAGTTTATCTACTCCAAAGATTTCGAATCTCATCCTTCCATGCGCGTCACACTCTCCGAGGAAGTGAAGTGATGTCTCCTCATCTTCTCCGCATTCACGGCAAGTGGGACTATCTTCCACACCTATGAGTGATAGGTGTCTGCGTAACCTGTTATGCCCTGTCAGTATCCCTATAAGAAGGCGCAGGACTTGGCGATCCCTGCCCAGCAACCAAGCCGTCCTTGGCTTGCTTGGACCGGCCACCAGGTCTCTCGATTGCCTGCAGCCGCCTATACGCCTCCAATATACTTCTAGTGCCTCGTCCGCCCATTTTTCAAGGGCAGACGAAGTTTGGCTTCTTGTTATGCCCAGTGCAGGCTCCGGTCCCCAGAACGGTGTCGCGGATCCGATTCTAGCCAGCTCGTCGGCCACCTCGTTCGCGGGCACCCCCCTGTGCCCCGGAACCCATACTAGTTCGACTTCCTTCTGTTCAGCTAGTTTCTCAAGAGCATCGCCACATTCCTGCACCAAAGCTGAGCTTGGTTTAGGATGGCAGACAGCCCTGAGAGCCGCCTGACTATCCGAGCAGATGTAAATCTTCTGCTCTGGTCCCTCTTTCACCTCATGCCTCTCCGCTACTGCCAGAGTGGCAAAGACCTTGGCCTGGAAAACTGTGGTATACTTTCCAAGAGCGTGTAGCTCTCCCTTATGCCTAATCCTTCTAGGTAAATTCCTGCGCCTGAGTCCTGTTTGTCAGTTAGGCGCGATCCGTCCGTATAACATACTAGACTCCCCGGGCGGAATTCCACTCGGTTCTCTTCCCATTGTTTCCTGCTTGGAATAGTGAGGGTGAACCTTCTATTCCATTTCAGCCTATTTTGGGCGTTCTTTACTCTTAGGGTGGAGATAGGGATCTCCTGCTCCACCCATGTCGCAATTTCCGCGTGACCTGTCACTGCTCCTCCGTTAGCCCAACTCCCAGAGTCCCGCATCCTCAGATAGGCCGCCATTGCTTCTCGGTATTACCATCAACAATATTCTCTCACGGGAAAATCATGTCCGATCCATGACAAAAGCTGCTTCACAGAAACTCGGATTATTGTACCGTGCGAAAATCTACTTTACATCTCAACAGTTTCTCATGATCTACAGAGCTCAGATATGGTCAGTTTCAGAATACTGCTCTCATGTATGGGGTTCAGTACACAAAGAGGAGTCATTCATCTGATGGGTGATGCCACACTCTCCAACTCTTTGATCTCATCAGAACACCGTAGAAAAGTCGGCGACCTTTACTTTTTTTATCACATAGTTCCACGTGAAATGTTCCTCAAGAATCTCTGCTATAATTCCTTCACTAGCAATAAAAGTCAGGCGAACTCGACAAGCCCAGTCAGCACATCCTTCTGTCGTTAACCTTGGAATGACTCGAATAACACTCTACCAAAACTTGTTCATCTATAAAACGGCGAAGCATTGACATTCTTTGCCTATGGAAGTATTCCCAAGAATTTATAACGTTCCTCCTCTCACTATCCTTCCTAGGTACACACGATGTTCCATGAACATTATAGGAATTTCCTTTCGTACACTCCAAAAGATAAAAAAAGATCTCAAGCGTATAGTTCATTATTCAGTTACTGATCCCAGGTCATAATATATGCAGATTCATATGTAGATACGTTCATGCTTGAGGTCTACTTCAAGACCATTGAAGACTAGGGCTTGCCCATTAGCTCAAGAATCTGACTTTTATAGTTAGATAGATCGGCTCTCGTAATAGAGGGATCCATTCAATTTATGATATACTGGTGATGATTGAGCTTTGTGATAAATTCATTTGATTTCCAAATGTCTCCACTTTCAGACATTATTTGAAATGGGTATGAGAAAATAGCCTGAATATCGACTACACTTCAAATTATGCAGGCTCTATCCACACCAATCAGATAACTGCTCAATCTTGGTATGGTGAAAAAATTACTATTCAAGTAACACGGGACGAGGCCACAAAGTAACTATTAACTCGATTTGTTTTTCGAGATACAGAGAGTAAGCCAAAATAACGTTTAACGGAATTATGTTTCCTTGTTGAAATGAGCGTGAAGATCAGATCAGAAATGTAATATGACTTGGCACCCTCAAGAAGAATTTATTGACCCATATTTCGATAGAAAGTTCTCATCATATATCAATACTAGCAGGAGTATTCCGAAATGTAGTAGAGAAAGAGCTGTCGAAATTGAGAGAACTTGTGACACTCACAAACTGTAGTGGAAGGTAGAACATCAATGGTAGGACGATATAGTCTTGAATACTGGAAAAACCCGAAGTCAGACTATATCGTTGACTATTGATGCAACTGAATTTTCATTGATCAAATTGCAAGTTAGTTATTTTCTCTATTGATTTTTTTTTTCTTTCATCCAGCTATATTTCTAGGCATTTACCTAGTTCTGGAACGTATCGAACAATCGAGATTAGAGCATCATCTGACAAAACACTGAAAGCTTTAGCGAATCTCATATCATAATCTCAATCTCAATACTAATTGAATGTTGTACTATTGAATTATTTCCACCGATGTATAGTATTGTAGACTCGAATGATAATTTTAAAGATTCCTCAAACTCAAACATAAATAATTCTAATTCATGTCTGTAAATTATTTCACAAAAAGTTGTTGTCGTTGAGAATAATGTTTTCTTTATTAAACTCGCTCTAGAGAATTAGGCATACCTTCTCATTATCAGAATAATATCAATTCGTGTGTATTTCTTCCAGAAAAAAATCTTGTTTTTCTGATGCAACCTACTGAGTCTCTGATGCAATGATGAAAAGATTCTTCTCAATCCATAGGTATTTTCGCCAGATTCAGGCCAATTCGGAAGATCTATTTCTAATTTCATGCATGCCCTGCTGTTAATTTTATTTTACGATATTTTCATTGCGCTTACCTACGAAGCCCTGAAAGGGACACATGAAACGAAAAAGAAGTTAACTCTTCAAAATTCTGAGTTATAACTCGGAATTTTGAAATTCCGACCTATATCTCGGAATTTTACATCCAAAATTCCGAGTTATAACCTCTGAATTTCAAATTTCCGTGTTATAACTATGAATTTCACATTAAAGTTCCGATTTATTGCTCGGAATTTCAAGATTCAGAGTTATGACTCGGAATTTAGGATGTGAATTTCCGAGATATGAGTCGAAATTTTAAAATTCCGAGTTATAACTCAGAATTTAGAAGAGTTTAATTTTTTTATTTTATGTGTCCTTTCAAGGGCTTCGTACTTTCCTTTATGATGCTCTGTCTGCTACATATTTTGCTATCGAATTTTCATCCACTTTCCAATTGAACGATTGAGATAAAATTTTCAAGTATTTAGGTATACACAATCTGTTTCACTCTATAAGAGACGACAAATTACCATTTTATAAAAAACACACACGATAAGATTTCCACAAAATTCTTAAACACACAGCATGTTTCGCTAACACAGTAGCTTCGTCAGGTGATATACTGACCAATTTTGACTCCTATCATTTTCCGGAAATTGGGGTGGTTCCATGGCTGTTGGCGAGCAGTGTATATCACTGAAGATGACCCCACTTGGTCATAGTGTGCATTTTTGTATATCTCTCGCTCTAGCAAATTTCAGGATCGGGATACTTACCCAACGATTACATAAGATACACCCCTCAGGGGCTCACGACTTGTGAGTACGGGAATGGCAATCCCGAGGTACCCTAGCCGGATACTCATTAATCATCAACTTGTCTTTGATGGTATCCTATTCACTCTTCAGTTTCCAATCTTTTTCTTCATCGGCCTCCCTTGGTCACTTCTCCTCTTTTCCTTCTCCCCTAAAGCCCAACCTCACCAGAGTGCGGGGAGGACAAGCCGCGGCTGCTCGGCAGATTGAGCATTTTGGGAACATCTTTGCTGTCATCACTCATATGGGACAGTTTTGTGGACATCTGAGTGCGAGGATGGAGCAATTTGTGAACATCTGCTCATGTGGCCGCGGATTTATAACGAGGCTCTGGCAATCCCCTCAGGGACTCACACCTTGTGAGTACGGGAATGGTGAACCCGATGTACCCTAGCCGGATATTCACCATACTTTAACTTGTCTTGGGTGATATCCTCTTCTCTCTTTCGCTTTCAATCTTTCTATCGGCCTTTCTTGGCCAACTTCTCTTTTCCTCTTCCCCTCCAAGACCAACCTCACCATCAAGTAGTGTGGGGAAGGCAGGCCGCGGCCGCTTGACAAATGATCGAAGCATTTTGGGACCATCTTTGCTATCTTCTGCCAGATGGGACAATTTGTGGACATCTGTGGCAGGGATGGGGCGATTTGATGATATTTGTCTAGGTGGTCGAGGACTGGTCAACGAGGCTCTGGCAACCTAATTCAAGCTGTGGGAACCCGTGGCGATGGATGGATGGCACCGAGGAATGGTTTTGCTAACGGGGCCTCTGGGAAACAGGGCGACATCCCAGAGTAAACAGCCTTAGTCCTGTGCAGGGGCACCACAGGGCTGGACCAACCCCTTCCCCCGTCACTCGTAGGAGAAGGAAAACTTTTGGCCTTCTTCGTAGACGAGAACAGAGGGATCGGAAGAGCAATCTTCAGGAACCTGAACGAAAAGGGTCTTTCATATTGAAGTGGCCCTTAATAGGCACCATGAGTCGTATGTGGTAAAATTGATAACGGCATGTAGGTGAGATACAATGGGCCACTAGGCCTAAGTGTCGTCGGAGCCTACAACGGGGTGGAGTGTTTAGTGGGTATACCATGGAGGGGACTCCCACACTACCACATGGGGGATTGGACCCATATGATGTCTATAAAAGATTTCAACCACCTCGGCGAAAAAAAAAGGGGTGTTTCCATTAGAAATGGGTCACACTGTAAAATATCATCATTCGGCTCAATCGTGACTATGGATATTTTGGTGGCCCATTTCTATTTCCGACCACTTTATTTATAAAGTCTGTAAATCATGATTGTTATGTATGCGGTATGTTATACACGTGCTATCGAAGTATAGAACTTACCTTGATTGTCACAATACACCCGCTCAATGCTATGATGTTACACAGCATGTGGTAAGAGTCCATTAGCAATGTCAAAGCATGGGTGAGGTGACTGACAATCAGCTCGGTCAAGAAGAATGTTATGGTCAATGCTAGGATGACGTAAAGCTGAATGGGCTGAAATTTTCGAAACCATTGTTTCACGCCCATCCTCGATGATTAGTGTGGTCCTGAAGTAAAAGGAAAAGAGTGTTAATGAAAAAAATCTCATCTTCGCTAATCAAAATGTAAAGCTTTACTTTTTATTGCGTTTCCTAATTCCTTATATTATGTTAGTTCAAGATTATCTTCATCAGACTTCCTTATACATACACCTAAGTCAACTCGTTTTCGATATATGCAGACTTTTTCGATTCCTTTTAGATTGCTCCTTCCTCTTTTATAATCGATAACTCTTTTTTTAATATATCGGAATTATTTCAAAAACTGAACTTATTCGTTTATTCAGGATTGGATGAAAACGATCAGAAATCTTATTAATTAGGAAAAACGTTTGGGAAAGTTCAAATACTCAAATTATTATTTTTTTTAAGATCTCCTGGAGTTGCCCGACTCTTACACCTCAATGGCTCATCAGGTAAATCTTTTTCCATGTTTACTTGATAGAAAATTGTTGGATTCGCTTGATTCTTGCATCAAAAGATGCGCAAGAAAAAATTCTATATGTTAAATACAATAACCCAATTTCGGCATAAAATGGTGTTGCCCGGTTCTTGCACCGAGGTCTTCAATTACATTACCACCTTTCTGAGTATTGAAAACTCTTAAACACTCCTCAGATAACTCTAGTCGAGTTAATATTCTACACAGACATTATTCAAAAGGTAGAGAACATCTAATTCTAGGATGATGCCAAGTTGTTCAGTAGAGCTGGCACCACCCCATGAGACTGCATGCATGGGGACAGAATGAATGCACCGTGCAACTTCAGTTCCAATAAAACTATATTTTTGCTTTATAAAAACTAGTATATTCAGAAAAAATTAAATGTAAATTACAGCGTGCCAATATATACGCATAATCATTTTGAAAATATTGAATATCATTTATTCAAAAAAGGAATCGAAGGGTTCACAATGAATACTCGTACATTCACCGAATTACTGATATAAAATTTGTCTCGAGTTATGCTATAACCGAATTGGAACTTATGAAAAATTGTCACCAAAATAACCCCAAAATAAATATTAGAAAGATCCTATCTCATAGCTTCTTTTTCTCATGCAACCCATTTCCTTTGATTTCAACCCCTCAAACTCTTTGTCCATTCACCATGTTATTAACCAACATTTAAACGAACAATCACAAAAAAGTATTAGCACAACTTCACATGTTCCCGTATCTATATTCGATGGTTCCGACTCAACTTCCGATTCACGACTTCCGACTCTCTCTCACACTCTCTATGTTCTATTATCGAAGTATAAACTGGTACAATTGCATTTCTTGGGTCTAATGTACCGGGTGTTACAATAGGTCCAGTTATCAGTGCACACTGATCACTTCAAGGTATACCTACGAAATCTCTTCAGCAATAATTAATCCATTAATCTGTCTGAAAATTTTGACACCATATGCTCTATTCAGTGATAAACCGTTTCAGAGCATATATAGTATAATACAATATTATAATAGAATATGTTCGTGGAGAGAGATAAATAGCTAATAGTATTCATCGAGTTCCATCGAGTCCTGGAATATAAGTCATAAACTTCATCACCCTGTATATATATACTTCATTTCTTTTTCTACTTGGTTAATTCAGATCTGGCAGAAAATGCAAATTTTCAATATCTGATGCTGATAATGTCCTCAAATTTCAATAGAAAGGTATAAATATACGTATTATTCGAGAGCCTGCGTGGTAGTATAGCCAAAAAAGTAGTTTTCTTTTGTTTGAATATTACAAGAACAATGATGCATTCCTAATAAATCACAGATGATTGATTGGATCTATCAGTCACAAAACTCCACAGTAGGTAAACACTCTTCATTATTTCAAAAGACAACATATCTATATATAGGTATACTCGCCTATGTGTTTCTATATGATTTGCACTACCTTGAACTTTTGAGGCTACTGACTATAGTTCATCGAGATATTCTCCATCATTAGATTATTGTCAATTATTCGGTAAATCCAATTCAATTGTTACACTTCCTCTCAATAATTCCTCTAATATATACACGCAGAACTCCAGTTTGGACCATTTAGGTACTCACTATATAGTTTACACGCCACACATGGAACATTTTATGTAACTCAAGTAAGTATAGGTAGATCTATTCATGAAATATCTAAGAATTAGTGACATTAAAACTGAAACGAAAGGGAATTACAGTATATGTATTATATTATCAGAGTCGGCATAAAAAGGGACTTCCTCTGAAATCCTGTTAAATGGTGAAAACTGTGTATTTTGTTTTCAAATGATCTTGATCTCCAAATCTCAGCTAATGCAGACATGTTTTTACTCGTGTTTGTATATTCCTTTGAAAATAGCGGATATTTTCAAGCTCACAAGAATATTGTAAAGTATTTTTGCTATACATGTACAGTGAAGACCAAAAGTCCGTCGCTCCCCCTGAAACTTCTTTATTCTACATATTACAAAAAATGTTAAATACATAAGTTGTAGGGTTTCATTCGATCTCTTTAATGGTTTGAGTTTCATTCATACAGAGTGTCTCTAAAAAGCACGGTGACTTAGAAGTTAATTTTTTAAATAGGCCACCCTGTATTTCATTGAATTTTCAGATTCTCTCTGAAGATCTGATTACATCGATGTATCACACTTGGGGTCTAACGGAAATGATTACAGAGATATAGGGTGTGAAAAATCGTCATTATTCAACTGTAGGAATTTTTTTTGTCGAAACTATTCATTGGTCAAAACGGCTTACATGTCCCTATCTCAACTTTTGATTAAATATCTACTGATATTTAATTGGGACATATACCGGGTGATCAGGATTCTGAATTCTGCACGGAAGGAGTCTAGCCTCCTATACAGGGTGTTTCAAAAAAACCTGACTACCTTGCTAGGGTAGGTTGAACACTGCAAAATAAATTCGGTTTGCTCAGTGAAAAAATGTCGTAACGGCATCCGTTTTCACGATACAAGGTGTTGAAAAAATTATTTTTTCACACATTTTTCACGATTATGTCGATACTACTGGCAACAGTGTAGTGAAATTTTGTATGGATATTTCTCGAGATCTGACACATCGCATGAATTTGTTTTTATATCTAACTCTCATAGAGGGCGCTAATAACACGGTTCGTACCAAGTAGTTTGGAACATAACTTTTTTGAGGTTTGATTTTTCGAACCAAATATAATATGAACTTGAACATCATTCAATTTCATGCCAAAAAGGTACTCCTGGTGAAACTCGATACTATGTTCCGTTTTCGGAATAATTCGATTTGAATAATGATGCTGGTATAAAATGAATTTTATTGAGTTCAATTACCTATTCATTCAGATTCAAAAACAATGAAATTATTCTTGTGCTGAAGTTATTGATGAGACAAAGAATCATAAGTAGAAAATTAAGAGATATTTGACTAGAAACATGAAATATTGAATCAGTTAGAGTGTGTGTTCAAAATGTCCTACGCTTCGACGAATGCACGATTCTAATTTCTTTTCTTAAGATTTTATTCTTCTTCTAAACAGTTGAGGATCAGCTGTCAGGCCATTTAAGTGATGTTCAATTATGTCTCACAACTCTTGACGTGAATTCACCTATGTAGCATAGACTTTCTACTCAAGATACAACAAAACTATGTAATCCATGTTCTTAGTCAAATCTGTTTCGATGTTATTCTTGTGATTCAATGTTGAATCAATAAGTTTAGCATCAGAAATGTATTGTTGTTTTCGGTTTTCAATAAATAGGTGCTAATTTTTCATAATACTCACTCAATACATATAGCTTTATACCAGCAATAGTTATCACTTCATCATTTTCAAATCGAAATATTCCGAAAACGGAACACAGTATCGAGTTTTACCAAGAGTACCTTTTTGGTGTGAAATTGAAGAATGTTCAAGTTCACATCAAATTTGGATTGAAAAATTTAACCTCCAAAAAGTTATGTTCAAAACTACTCGGTACGAACCGTGTAACTAGCGCCCTCTATGAGAGTCAGGTATAAAAACAAACAACAAGATTTCATCACAATGTTGCTAGTGGTTTCGACATAATCTTGAAAAATGTGCAAAAAAATCATTTTTTCAACACCTTGTATCTTGATAACGGATGCCGTAACGAAACTTTTTTACTGAGTAAACCCAACTTATTTTGCAGTGTTCTACCTACCTTAGTAAGGGGGTAAGGTTTTTTTGAAACACCCTGTAGATGTGCCAAGATGAATATTTTACGCGTGATTTGCAGACTTCAGCGTGTGATGCGTGGGCAAGCACTGTTGCCAATTCAAAAATATTCACCTAAAAACAGGAAATAAAATCAAAATCCATGTATTTTGGTGTTTTTTCAATGAGAAAGTATAGATAATAGTTTGAGGAGAATCTCTGAGGAGGCTCAGCCTCCTCTGAGGAGCCGCCACTGATGTAAATACAAAAATATCATCACAATAATATGTCTGATGAGTGATTATTAATATTTTATGGTTGCCAGAATGGAAAACTCGGGAGATTTTTTAAAAATTGTTCGTTATAAATATACAAAACAAACTACTCCGACACTCATATTTTCTAATCGCCTCATTTATATTAACAATAATGTCTGGAATACAGAGGCCACGGAATTGATGTTACGATAATTTTTTTTTAGTTTGGCCACGTTTCAGTCCAGGATCCACCGCCTATTTTTTCAGTGATTAATAACAGGCTGAATTTTCGCAAGTAGGTTTCATTCGACGAGATGCCCAAGTTTTGCCCCTGTGAAAATTCTCAATAGGGGTACCTATAGCTAATGAAGTGCGCAGTGGTTAAACATGTCGCTTTGGTGGGGTGTCGAAAATCGGAATTGTCCGACTGACAGTAAATTTTTCATTGGAAAGTTGAGATGGTATTATTAATCCGGAGGAACAATTATGGTCCTACAAAATGGATGGTTTGTTTAGAGCGTCCTCCACTCCGAATATGTCGAAATAACGAGGTCATGAAAATTATTAATAACCATCTGTTTTTTTTATCGCTTGGTCCGCACGAAAGGGAATCCCTATTATGTTCGAAGAACATCGTGCGTACTTACCTAGGCAATGAATTTTAGAGGACTCCCGTTCTATAGAGAAACGAGTTTTGCTATTAAAGCTGTTTGAAATATTTCGAGGTTAACAACGAAAGGATGTGCTGACTGCGCTTGTCGAGTTCGTTTGGCTGGTATTGCTAGTCGTGAAATGATAGCAGACAGTTCCCGTGGAAGTATCTATAAGAAAGTGAGAGGTCGCCGACCTTTTTACGGTGTTCCAATGATGTCAAAGTGTTAGTGAGTATGGTATTACCCACCAGTCGAATGGTTTTTCCTCTGGATGTAATCTTAAGGGCATATGTGGAAAAAGTATTCTGGAGCAGGTCGTATCTGTGCTTTGTAAATCATGAGAAGATGTTGCACGAAATAAAAGTCCGAGTTCTAGTGAAGCAGCTTTCGCGATGGATCTGACATGATTACCCCATGAAAAAGTATTGCTCATGGAGACACCGAGAATAGATATAGTTGACTTGGAGGGAATGTTAGTATCAGACATTGATATATCAGGCATACAGAGTTCCGCAATAAGCTCACCTACATAATGCTTCAAACGGAACACACAATAGATATATCACTAATTATTAGAAGATAGAGAATATATCACTATTGTTAGTTGTTCCTATTTTCAGGAATGATTGATTGAAATAATCAATCAATTTCCTACGCTTGTAGAAACAATATTGGTCCTAACTCATGCGCGCGATAAGTGTATTTCCGCCTCGATTTCCGCACTTGTTAGGAAAATTACTATTCTCCACCAGTACCTATAAAACCTACCATTATTTACTCCTTTTCGAGGCGTTAATTGTGTTTTTACTACCGAGGTAGTTTTCGTCATCGGGATATAATCTTGGTCCATGAGTAATACTGATATTCTTTACCACCTTGGTGTATAAATAAATATTGTGTTGCTGGTCCGCGTAGTTGAAGCATTTGCTTGCCGATCGTGGGTTCAAATCCCCGTCATTCGTTGCTCGCACAAGTCTCTTGAAGACTTCTGAGGGTTGCTCATAAGGGTGCAACATACGAACATTTCTTTTTAGAACAATATAGTTAATGAAGTTGAGTACCTCTACTTGGAGTATGCCTATAGGTAATATCATTTTATCATTTAGAAAATTCTGTAATTATTATGGATAGCTTAGGGCTTAGGGCTTAGATAATTGATACGAATATATCTAATTAATATACCGGGTCAACTACGATTTCTAGGAGGACGTAATTCGAGATTGATTTGTTAACAGATGACAAATCAATGTCGAATTATGTCTCTCTAGAAATTATAGTTGACGTGTCTAAGCATTTTTATATTCGGTCATGCCTTCAAACTTTATTCAGGGTGGATCGCCTTGAATGGGCCACCCGGTATGTTCCGGGAAAATACAATTTCGATTGGCATTTCTACTCCCTTCCAATATTTCATATGTCACAACTATTAATGAACTGTTCATGTATCATTTTTTTGTTGAAAAATATCCCAATGAGAACATTTGAGAGATTTGTCGAAAGAAAAATCTCTGGGCCTTGTTATTAGGGGAGGTCATCACATTATGCAATCTGAATTTTCAAGTTTCTTACCAAGGAACCTGAGTTTTATTGTACCAAAAAATATATTCCTGGAGTTAAACAGATGTGCACACTTCACTCAATTTGCTAGTTATTTTATAACACTGCCACAGTTCTACACATCACATCCAATTCCCCATTGTTCTTATCCTCTATTCATAATATTTACTGAATAAAGACATTTATTAAAGAAATGAGTTCAAAATGCTCACAAATCCAAACAAAGATTATAATATGAACATCATATTGTTGGGGCAGTGTGCAGAATACAGCATTGAGAATGTTATTTTCTCGTGAGCTATTATACCTAACTATTAAAAAAATTATTCCTCATTGCAGAGGCTGACATACAGGACTTTCATTTTAATACTTACCACCAAGCATATCTTCTGATCTGCAGTGATCATAACTTTCTGAGAAAATAGGTCGATTCAAATATCGGGGGAGAAGTAACATTCCAGTACCTATCTATTGAATGCTATGTTCATTCCCCATTTAGCCCCAACCACCCCTAATTCATAAATCCAATTTAGGCAGATGCAAGAACCAACCAACCAGATAAATAATAATCAATTTCAACGATTCGTGTTGAAAATATGAACAATAGTCAGAGAGACTTGAAAATACATTTTTTATTTCCAGGTATTTGAAGCAATTTTCCAAAATATGCTCCAATATTCTGTGTTCATCAGATAGATATATATATATAGATAGATAGATAATGTATACAAATTGAAATTGGAATTTGCCATTACTTCACGAATTTGAGCAAGCATATAATCTTCAATAGGAATGATTATTTATATAAACAATAAATAAATTTATAGGTATTGGATTTAGTAAATGTAATGAAATAGATATTGATAAAACTAAAAATCAACATTGAAGGTGGGAATACTATTGACTAAAGTTTGAAAACAATTCTTCTAGTTATAATAAATGATGCTGCGATCGGTAAATATGAAGGTTGGTGAGAGTAAATATAATTTCAAGTTTACAAAGTGCTCGCGACATGAGTCTCGTCTATTAAAATCTAACATGACTTGGATTCTCGTAGTTCAGAATAGGGCTGGGAAAAAAAATCGATATATCGATAAATATATCGATATATCGATATATCGAATAACGATATTCAAGTTTTTAAATATCGATAAATCGATATATCGATAACTATCGATAAATCGATAAATATCGATATATCGATAAATATCGATATATCGATAAATAGCTATAAATATCGATATATCGATTAATATCGATATATCGATAAATATCGATAATTATCGATGAATTTCGATATATCGATATATCGATAAATATCGATAATTATCGATATATCGATAAATATCGATATATCGATAAATATCGATATATCGATATATCGAACTTATCGATAAATTTCAACTTATCGATAACCGATAACTGAAATCCAATATCGCGCAGCCCTAGTTCAGAATACTATGAAACTGGAGAAAATAAACTGTTTGGGTAGCAGCAGTGCCGGTATTAATTATTATTGCAAAAATTGCGTAAACGGTGCCAGGTTTGTTGTTGATATAAGATATGTGAGATTTCCAATCCAATGTTTTATTGAAAATAAAGCCCAAGAACTTTGTATGCGTCACTGGGATTATGTTTCCATCAATAGGTCTAATTTGTAATGGTTCGATGAATTTATTTGGGAGTATAGTCATATTTATTGTTTTTACACGTTAATTATGAGCATTTTTGGTTCTGAACCAGTCAACTATATTATTGAGACCAACTTGGGTTTCTATTTTCAGTTGAGCAATATCTGAACAACTTTCCAAAATGCTGGTATCATCCGCAAATAGAAAGAAATGTGACGATGGAAAGTTGGATACCAGGTCATTATATAAAGCAAAAAGAGTGTTGGTCCTAATATTGAACCTTGAGGTACCCCGCACGTGAGCGTGTCTACACGAGATCGTACATTTGAGATTTCACAGTTCAAAGAAAATGGTACTTCCACTTGTAGCGATCTATTTTCTAAATATGACTTCATCCACTGGTCTAAAGCCATAGTCGTAATCCATTCAATAGTATTCTGTGATCAACACAGCCTATTCTTACAATTCTTGATGAACTTTTTGAAACGTGTTCCCATTGATTTGTCTACACTCTTCAGTTTGAGTCAAGGGATTGTTTTAGTATATGTATTGTTTTCTTGTGACCCTAGCACAAAATATGATCAAGAGGTGTCAAATCTGGACATCTCTCTAGTCATTCTAGTAGAAGAATACAACTTTCAATGGATTTTATGAAAAGTCTACCTTTGGCGTAGGTACTCAATTATAATTCATTTCTTTATAACAACTGATGATAGCTTTAATAAACATTTACAAAATTTTCGGCTGTAACTGACATTTTTGAACTTGCCTCTGATATTATAATCGACAATAGTTTTCTTTATCTCGAGGTAGGGGGTGACCTTTGGTATTACAAATTTGGAATGGGGTTTTCTGCGGGGGTGAAGGGGATGAACATAGCATTTAATTGATATATACTGATCGGCACATCGGCATGCCCTGAGTTTTGGATGGATTGGCCCTGCCTTCCTCCATAAAAAACTATCTAAAATACCAATTTTTCAAATTTAGTTATGTTCTTTAACAATTAAAAACATTTTTTCGTCTGCATGATGATGCCATCGCTATTTCCATATCACCTTTACTCAGTACTATGACTTATGATGACCATTTGAATGGTTGAAACATGTCTCAATAGTAAAAGAAATAAGCTGAATTGCCTGCACACTTCGGCATCAAACTTGTGGAGACGACTTTGAGTTTTTTCTCTTTGATAATCCCCCTCCACTTAGAGAATAGACCACTTCATAAGAACTTTCAAAGAGTTAGAAAAGGAAAGTTGAATACACTGTATTCCATTTGTAACGGTTTTCTCACAGAACGAGTGTAAATAATAGTTAACAAGTGTGCATTACCCTAGAAGTATTTACTTTTGTGATTTAAAATTATCCATCAAACTTGTTCAAAAATGATGCAGTGATATAAGGGTATCCTATTTGGAAAATTGGACTGTTGGTCATCACTGTAGATTAATGCCCGTAACTTTTCGTAATATAATAATTAATAAAGTAACTTCATTTCATTTTTCTGGCCCAGCGTGGAATAAATTTGTTCACCTTTCTCGTCCTCATTCTGAACTTTTGCCGGAGTTGCAAACCCTTATCCGCGAGATTTTCGTGGACTGCATTGAGGAAGCCTGATGAGTCAGTGGATATTTTATGAATTTCTATAGATATACAGGGTGAGATATAGTTGCGTATTTCGCGAATCGACAATCAAGCAACAAACTGTGCTAGCAGTAGTACAGAGTCTATACCTATATTACGAAATAATTAGTTAGATCAACCTTTATACAAAAATACCTAATGAGAGTTGATAATTAATAACTATCAATGTAGAATAATGCGAAGATCACGAAGCAACGAGGTCTAGACTCGTAATACTTGATGTTTGACATAGTTCCCTCAAAATTAGATTATATTATCGAACCATTACAAATTAATGACAGTTACATAATAACTCTCACAATTTTGCAGATTTTCTTTACTTTCTCATTGCATATCGAATTCAGAGTTCTTTAACCATATTACACAATTCTTTCTAGATGACCTACCTTATTATACCTACTTTAATACGTTTAAAATAACATAGATACCTACTAATCTTATAGGTAATTTATTGCACTATAGTCTATAAATATTAGCATAAACAATTCAACACAGATGATTTGCATTAATTCAATAGGCATTGGATTATTGGATTTTATGATGTTAGACAATGAATTGCCCCAATAATGAAAAATAGATCCCCCATTTTTTTATAGTACCTTGATGAATATTAAAAAAGTCATAAACGATGAAATTTCCAATTATTCTCTTTTCTTATCTATTGGAGCGCTCGAAACGACATCTCTATTTTATTTGAGGAACATCGTGCGACCTAGCCAGGATAGGGAGAGATAGTAGATATTGTATTTTTGAATTCCGGAGGTTATAAGTCTTGGGCTTGGGAATAGGGAATAGGTACTTCTTTCGGCAAGAAATTCGGAAACTTTGTAGACAAATTGTCTATCACAAAATCACTTTCATGAATTGATACACCAGAGTTGGTTGAATAGATATCCGAGTAGATATCCAAGGAAAGGAATTTCATTACTCCCGAAATCATCGATGATGTTGCAGAAAAACAGAGTGTCACTCCAAAACAAATTATCGAATTTATTTCAAAATCGTCAATTCAATTTCAAGATGCATCATTGTACCTACCTATACTCTACTCATTTCTAATATATTTCAATTTCGAAAGGTATCAGAAGTATTTCAAAACTATCAATTCAATCTCAAAATGCCTCAATTGTATTTCAAATTAGTCATTTCTATTTAAAAATTCCATTTTAATTTCAAAATTCATCGATTCAATTTCGAAACTTATCAATTCAATTTCAAAACTAATGATTTAAACAAGAGACAAGATCCAGAAGCGTTCCTATAATGAAAATAACTCGAAAAATATCATCAGCCATAATAAACACTACATGTGCTTAGTTTTAGGTTTCAATCCTCTCCTGAAGATGCTAACATAGTTAGCGAAACACGTGTCGAGGCGTTTAAAAAATCGGTTTGGTTAGTGGTAAAACAGTGTAGCTACATGTGCTTTTCAAGTTTTGAAATTCAAATGATGCATTACGAAATACAATTGATATTTTTAGAAATACAAATGACTATTTCCGAATATAGTGTTTGTTTTCAAAATTGATTTGATAATCTTGAAACAAAATTGATGATTTCAGAAATTAAAATGTCTTATTTGCAAAAATATTGATGCAGTTTGAAAACTAATTCATAATTTCGAGAAACATTAGATACTTTTTGAAATTGAATTGACTAATTTGAAATAAAAATGATGCTTTCTAAAATTCAAATGACTATCTGGAAATACAGTTGACTGTTTTTCAACTAAAATTGGAAAAGTTGTAGAACTTCGAATGTGTTGATAATATGTTCAGTTTATGAGAATATATCGAATTCAGTACAAGATGAACTATGAAGAAAAAAAA